GAAACTTTTTTTGCGTATCTCTGCTTTATTGGAATGAATTTAAATTAACCCTAGACAACTAAGCACTTGGTCAACAAGACTCCTAACTTTTGCCAGTTTTGCAAAGTTGGGATGCTTTTAGAACATTTTACATCTTCAAGGTTAAAATGCATCACTTTTTGGTTAAAATTTAAAGGCATTGTATTTAATTTATGTTAACTTGCTTCACATAAATAAAGCAATCACAATAAGGTTGATTCATAGTTTATGTGTTGAATGATTTAAAGAGCATCAATGATTTCAGAAAACCGATATTGGGTTTGAATTTAGATAAAATTTCAGCACATATTTTAATGTAATTATTCGGCAGTTTTTTGCATTTAACATTTTGAATCAATATTCGGGTATTTTTTGATAATTTTCACGATTAGCAAAATTTAAGTCCTTCTCCGAACTTGTTAAATAAATTAAAATGTTTTTAAAAAAGTAATTTTTACTATTAAGTTTGATTTTTTTAAAAAGAAAAATCTAGTAAGTAAGTAAAAATATCATTGAAGACTTTTGAAGATACTAAACTTTCATTTCATTTTAAGCATAATTTTCTACATAGTTAAATTTAAGCGCATAATAATTTTTTAATTAGTTGGTTACTTTTAGAAAATAAACTATGTTCCTACATCAGTTCATTCAAAATTGCACACTAAGAACTTAGTGCCATTAAATCCTATATTCAATTCAATTCAATGCACACTATGAAATTTATTAGTAAGATCACACCAAAATATATAAGCTTTACAATATGACGTTTTCAAATATATAGTCTAAAGAAAGAATTACTTTTTTATAGAAATGCAGTGAGAGAGTAAATGGCTAAAAATAGTCCTCATTGCCTCTGCGTGAGATATGCATATTTTTTTCACTAATTTTTGTACTGCTTTAAAAGAAGTTCAAGATACAAAGTGCACTCACTTAGCTGCAAAACCTTATCTGGGAAATAAATGTGGCTGATGTGTAGTGTCACTACTAAGCTATTGGTTTTGAAATTGTGAAGTGTCAACTTCAATGACCAACAACTGGTTTTTTGTAGAGATTGCTATGCTTTTTAATTACATAATGTGAATTTTGAAATGAGAGGAAGGCTTCGATCTCAGAAAAAGCTTACTCGATTTAATAATTCTCAAAATCGAGTGTTTGAGAGAGAGGATCAATATACACATCTACAATAGTTCTTAAAACTAAATTTCATACATAAAAAAAGAAACAAATTTTCTTTCATTTGTTAACTGTCTGACAGGTTATTCTTTTCTTCTTAGTACTTTTAATTTCATAACTTGTTTTTAAATTGCGTTAAACTTGGAGATAATTCATAAAAGTTTCCTTTGTCTAAAATATTGGGGTGGGATTTTAGGAGATTTCTTATGATTTTGAGAGACACATACCCATTGTCCATCTTCGTACCATTCCTGTGGATCAAACACAAATTTTATTGGATAAAGAGTTAGCACAAAAAAGAATAACATCTCTTTCAAATAAATCGGCTATGCAACCAAAATAATGATTAAAAAATGCATTATCTTATATTTTTATCAAACAACAAAAAAATTCTTACATAATTTTTGATAGTTTTATTATAAATAAAAAATGCTTTGAGCCTTCAAATTTATCTCTGAATACATTTTTTCCCCCTAGCCTTATAACTAGTTAGCAAATGTTTAACAATTCAATCTTATTTATGAAATGTTAAATAAGTTAATTTCAAAACATTTAAATTTTTTATTACTTAAAAAATATTATTTTGTTTTCAATACTCAAATTTTCTTTACATTTGCAAAAATTGTTTAAATGCTACAATATTATGAAACCTACTACAAATTTAAGCAATGTTAATTTTTTTCAATAATATCAAAGTAGTGCTTCACTGAACTTTTAAACTTTCTAAATTTAATTTAAAAAAATTTATTCCATAAGTCAAATGAAGTGTCATTGAAAGTGAAAAAAAATATTTAAAATTTTTGATTTTGACCACTTTTAATAGTTAAAATTTTTTGATTGTGACCACTTTTGCTAGAATAGGAATTTTTAATTAACCTTGAATTTTAGCTATTATCTAAATTTTATACCCTTGAGTATCAAAAAAATAAGAAATTCTCAATCTATCTTATTAATAAAGAAAGGGGATAACTCTAAAATTCTCCCCCCCCCCTTCAATAATTTAGACTAATTCAATAATCCTCTTTGATATCTTTCTTTTTAAGTGGGAAATAAAGAGAATCTGTGTCTTTTAGTAAAAAGTTTAGAATACTGTCATAGACATGTCTTTCAAGTTCTTTAAGTAAATGTTAATTGCTTCTGTGAAACATTATTTTTCTCAAAATAAACTGTTAAATGAGTTGTAATTTTTAACAATTTAATTTCAAAGTGATTTAACTATTATAGATTTATGGTTTCTAATTAGAATTAAAGAGGTTTTTTAACAAGTGAATTAAATAGCAATATAAGAGCAATTAAATGTAATTCTCTAAGTATATGAATCGTATAATTTATTCTACATAATCAAAATATGTGTAATAAGTTAAAGATCTAAAATAAGTTGATCATGCACCAATGAAACAGAATTAAAATGGAGTATATAGATATCCTTAGCTAGATAAGTCATACATTATTATTTTTATTAAAACAGTGAGTACTTCAAAAAAAAAAAAAAAAATGGTTTTTATTGTAATTTTAAATGTATTCCTTTTTTCTCTGCTAAAAGGAAAAGAACTGATTTAAATAAATCAATTTCTGTTTTTCTTATTTCTCTTCTATGCTGCTCTTCTTTCAATAAATGTTCTCTTTGATGCTGAAGTATTTCATCATTTTGTTTTCTTTGAATATTTAAAATTCTATTCAGTAAATCAGTTTGATGCAAACGTAGTTCAGTTTCTAAAGTTTTATTTGCATCACTTAATGTTTTTAATCGTTTTCTTTTTTCTTCTGACGATTTTTTCCGAGAACTCGTTTGTTTACATTGTTTATTGATTTGCAGTTCCAAACTACTTTTACTTTGATCCAAATCTTTCACGGATAAATCAATAGGGGTGAATGCGTTCATATGGCGCTTCTTTTTCCTTAAATTTGGAGAGTTTTTAGAAGTGTTTGGATTGCTTTCGTTGTATGCTAAACTTTCAATAACAAATGGTGGTCGTATGATAGTACACTTACCGAAAACTTCGTGCACTTTATCATAGCAACCCAGTACTTTGCGAGCAAATGCCGGTGAGTAGTTATTATCAACGACTGTTTTGTAATCGCGGCGAAGTTTTTTGATTTTTTCTCGGCATTGTTCACCCGTACGTTGTATTCCCAGATCTGATAAACGTTTGGATATTTTATCATAAATGCACATATTATGTAGTCTCCCTGCTAGTTGTTCTTGAATTTCTGGATCTGCCCAAATGTCTAACAAAGCTCCGATTTCACTGTATAGCCAGGCAACACCTTTGCTTGTAGTTTTCGGCGACATTTTGTAAAATTGCTTGAAAAATTAGTTCTGTTATTAGAAGATGCGTTCCTAAATGTAAACAAATATTATGGGTTGCTGGTGTTGCCAGATTGTGTGTTAAATTTTTATTTTCGATTTGTGATTGGTTGTTTTGCGGTGTCATTTCATGATGTGGGTGTGGACTTTTCGTGACGTTAGAAAGGGGGTTGGCTCCTTAGTTTCGTTTCAGGTACTCTGAAGACATCTGTGGTACATTGAAGAAAAATATTTTAATCATTTAATACAAATAATTGATCCTCCAGCTTTAGTAAAATATTAAATTTCTCGTATAGTTTGTAGTTATTTGTTTCAAAAATCAGTCTTTAGTTGATTGCTCTTGTTTGTAATAGTTGAATGAGCACAATTCGAAAAATCTAAATTTAAGTTAAATTACTAAAAGATAATTAAAAACCTCCTAAAAGACAATGACTATGCTCAATTTTTTTTCGAAAAAGTAAACTAAAAAAAATGATTAATTGATAAACAGTTGAAAGCTTTTTTCTATAATTTAAACTAAAACTTTAGAGATATTAAACATTTAAAGGTGCATTTTTTTTTTTATAAAGAAAGGTATTTGTTTAAAAAAAAGGTATTTATTTGAAATATAATATTGAAATTTAAAATATCTTTAAAAATTTATTAAATTCCACCTATCCCCCTAGAAAAGAAATACTTATAAACTGGTGAAATCTTTATAAGATTTAACCAATTGAGAATAATCCTAGCAAGGTAAATATTTGTATTAGTAATCAGAATTAAACCTATAAACACGTATAATTTTTCCAGTGTGTAATTATTATTTAAATAGGGAATTAATTTTTATCAAAATGAAATATGAATAAGTAGGCAGTATTTTTAAGGGATGTCGGCTTATTTTTACGCAGGGCAAAAAGCTCTCATTTATTGGGATCATATGGTGGGCCGCCCTTCTAAAAACGCTCAGGAAGCGTTTGCGAACCCTGCATTACTTTATACATTAGAATTTTACTAAATTGGTGAAATGACTCTTCGTTAGTTGATTTGTAAAAATATTAAGGACTTAAGATATATGAATCTTTGCAAAGTATAACGAAAAATATTTTAAACTGGGGAAATAAGTATGTTAAATTTTCAAATTACATATGTTCTTGTGCAATATTTTAAGAAATTATTTATAATAAATTATTAACAAAATATGTGTCTCAATTTTTTAAACTAATCGGTTTAATGTAACAAATCGTGACTCATTTTAGCTTGTTCCCTAGGATATGTGGGGTGTTTGCTAAATACTTGATATATATTTATGTATTAAGAATAGTATCTCAAAAAAATTTAATTGCGTCTATTTGTATTTTGATAGGTTTTATCTTTATTTTGGACTCCTTTCTCCTATGAAAGCTGACATTATTAAGTTGACCACTCCCACGTGATCAACTTTCTTAGGATATTATAAATGATAATTAAGTTAATTTGAAATTAGTAGTATCAAAGTTTACTATTATCTTCTTTTTTTGTGTAGGTGTTATACCTGGAATGCAAAACTTGGGGAACTCTTGCTTTTTGAATGCTGTATTGCAAGCTTTATCTGCATGTCCTTCAGTGTTATCCTGGCTTCTTCAGGTCGTTGATTATTCTACTGAATCTCAACAAAGTGACAAGTGTGTTCTTACCAAAGCACTCCTTTCTGTACTTTCAGGTAAATCAGTAATTTTAATTTTTTTAATATTTTTGTAAAAGATATGAAATTGCATGAAAACAAAATGTTTTTAACATTATTATTTGATACATAAGATGTATAATTTTTCTCATCAATTTTCATGTCTATATACATATAGAAATGATAGTCTGTNTTTTTTAAATATTTTTAAAAAAATAGTAATTAAAAGATTCTGAAATGACTGCATCTTTTCATCAAGAATTCAGTAGTTTTACCTCCAAGCTTTTTTAAAAGATATGAAATTGCATGAAAACAAAATGTTTTTAACATTATTATTTGATACATAAGTTGTATAATTTTTCTCATCAATTTTCATGTCTATATACATATAGAAATGATAGTCTGTTTGCCCTTTATAAACTTCTAAACTATCTAACCGAGGCGGGCAGATAAAATTTAACCAGTAGTCACAAAAACTGTATTATTATTATAGTTTAACAACTACTTTATTACAAATGTAGTCAAATAAAATAGCTTTTTTTTGTAGTAACTACAAACTACTTTGGAACTGTAGTAACTACCTCTCCACTTAAAGGAGACAAACTTTGCTGGAGAACTTAATTTACTCTTATGTTCAAAATGATTTAGAATAAAAAATTGGTTTACATTAAATGTTAGGGAATAATTAAGAAATATTTACTTAAGTTTACATGATCCAGTTTGTTAATTTAAAACATTTTTTTTTTGAATCTGTTCATTTAACCTTCAACTTTTTATGCCTTTCTCGACAGTGAATATTTAATTTAAGGAATGCTAAATTATCAAATACTTGCAATTTTTTAACTGTTCAATGCTCTTTTATTCCCTCTAAGAAATTAAGTACATTGAAAATATGTTCCCCTCCTTTGAAATAACATCAATGTTTCATGGGTGTCCATTCGCATGTGAAAGTATGACTAAAGTGATTAATTATCTATTTTCCGCAAAGTTTAAATGTTAGTTATACATGGTTTTAAGTACGTAATTTCTGTTAATGACTCAGCTGCAGCCACATGGTCCTTTTCATAGCGTCCATTGATGGACACACGAAGATTTGTGCCCATCAAATGTAAAAAAATTAGTTTGTACAAGAACCGTGTTTCTTTTCTAATTTAACTGTAAAAGTAATTGCGAGAAATCATTGCAAACTATTGTTTTTTTAATCGCACTGCACTACTTTTTAAAAAAGCAGCACACTACACTACAAACTACGAAAAAGTAGCAAATATATTAGTTTCACTACTTGTAGTGCGCTACTTCCGACCACTGAATTTAACATATGTATTTAACGACGTGAATTAATATAGTTTGAAGCACGGATAAAGTAACTGTTTTTATTAGAACATTCTACAATGAACTTTTCACATGAAATAAATGAAAAACAAAATAATTTAGCATCATAAAAAACTACCTTATATAAATTCATGAATCTGATATTGACTAAATCAGAAAATTACGACTTGCTTATTAGTGCTCCACACTATATTTGGCTCAATTTTGGGACTCTTTGTGATATAAAAACACTATTTTTTGTAATGAAATTTTTTTTTTTTTGAAAAAGTTTATGTGCACTTGCTTTCTTTAACTGTCAGTGATTTGAATTAATACAAAATTAAAAATTTTTTGTAGCTTTAAATGAGAATAATGATGACTGCAGTGGAGCTGAAGTTATAAAAGCCTTACGATCACATCGATGGATTATCTCTAATGAGGAACAAGTAAGTTTTATATTTTGAAGCAAAACTTTAGTGTGTTAATATTATCGTTTTGTTAACTTAACAACTTAGAAGACTTAATTTTAATTGAAATTGAGCTCCTTCAACTTGATACTGAGGTATTTTCCAATTTTCTTCAGGTTAATGTGGTTTTCAGGACCCTGAAAAATGTAGCAATCTTTTATTTTATTTTAACCTTATTACGTTTGCAGTTGACTAAAATTTGGTCCATTTCAGTACATGCACATGCCTTATCCGAATGGGTTTCACGGCTCTCCACATGTTCTATACAAAAACATGAAAATTCAGTTGATCAAGATAACACACTGCTGGCTGCAAGGAAGGCAAATTCATGCTCCAGCATGAATTTGCACTGATATCACTGAATATTATTTAGGACTCAAGGCATGATAACTCAAACAAGCTTTGAATGATTCACTCTGTATAATGCATAAGTACATGACAAATATCAAGTGGGATATTTCATAAAATAAATATGATTGATGACAAGAAATAAACATTAACCACATCGCCATAGTAGTAACGATCATCCATAGGCAGATGCATATTCACTGCATTGATGTCATAAGCACAAGCAGAGCATTGAAGTATTGACAACTCTATATAACTCTCACATAATTTATATAATGTTAATGGCAACTTACCTTTAACAAAAGTATATACAAATTTTAAATCGTGATACAAAAAAGACATGATATAACGCTGCATTTAATAATCTTGTCGTCTAGTGGTAGACTGCATGTTTACTCAAATAAGTATAGATGAAATCCCAAATATAAACAAAATATAGAAATTTTAGTAACCTCCATTAGTTTGTGCAAGTGAGGTCATTAATTGATAGAACGTTACAAATTGCTGAAAATGTTTACGTAAGAACTGTTGGAATATTAATTTCATCATTTTGGCTTTTAACCTTTCAACTGGAGCTTAAAAATTTGGGAATAATGATTTGAGCTTCTTTTAACTAACTTTCTAAAAATCAGGAAATAATTATTGCATTTTATGTAATAAATAATTAATTTGGTATTAAAAATAGACATAAATTGATTTCATTATTTAACATTGGTGCACAAAATATATACTTTTTTGGTGTGCAATCTTGTACTTTTTTGTACAATTTAAATCTTTTCTTTTTATTAAAAATATGTTTTGTAAAAATTATGTAAGCATGTTATTTTAAATTTCCTTGCTCTTACTTTTGTAGGATGCACATGAGCTTTTTCATGTTTTGACAACAACTATTGAAGAAGAAGCATTAGCTCTTAAACCTGTGTTATCTCTTCTGGATACTAAAAAGCTGGAGGTTAAATTTTTAATATTATCCTATTTTCTTTCAATCAGCTTCAATAGTATAGTCAAACTCACTTATGACGAACCCGGATTCAACATTGACAGAAGTTTAAAATACTTCATTGGCGCAATGTTAAGTATTATGGAGCAAAGCTCGTTTGTAAAGCATAAACCCCGGTTTTTGTATTAGTAATTTATAAAAAATTTTACTACATTCCACTTTTTCAGCTCTGCAAATCTTTTCTTATCAAATAAATAAATTCTTTTTTGATGTTTTTTGGGTTTACAAATTTTTTTTTCACGTTGACGTTGTTTTTTGAGGCACGAGTCTTACCTGAGAAACAGTATTGCAGCAAAGAGACAGTTCAAAGCAAATTAACTGTCTTCTTTTATACTGTGTAAAAATAAAGAACATATAAAGTGAGTTCTATATTCATAATTTCAAAAATATGCATGAACTTTAATGATTTTTTCAAGAACTAGCTTCATACGAGCAGTCCGTTGTAACAAATAATATTGTGGTCTATTCATGCTCATTATAAGTGAATTTGACAATATTTAAAAATTTGACAAATGCACTTTTTTACTATCATTAAGTTAAATAGTTATATGATATATGCTATCTATACACGCAGACGTACCAAAAATTTTATATTTTAAAAGTTTTAGTAACTTTTCTGATCTAAACAGCAGCAAAATATAAATTGAGTATCTAAGTTTCTTAAGTTAATATTATAATTTTATTCTATTAATTAAAAGGGAATTAGAAAAAAAAAGCCTGATAGAACAATAAATTTTGCATTGAAATTTAAAAATTGTATAGTTAAAGATGATTGTAGTACCAAGTTGTTGAAAAAATGTTAATTTTTCACAATTTATTGATAATTTTCAGAAGAGTATGCAATATTTTTGAAAAATTGCAAACTTGCTGGTTTTAACTTTTTTAATGATCTTTTGGAATTTATTTATTTGTTGGCAATAAATACAAAACAAATGTTTTTGATGCTTTTATAACTCTTATTGTTAAATAAAATGTATTGAAATTTATTTTATTGTCTAAAAAATAACTAATTTATCTGATATTAATTGAATCTCTAATTTTCTTTAACTATGACTAATAATATTGTTACAGGAAAGCATTGGTATAGGTTGACATTATTGAAAGTAATGTGTTTTAGAATAAAATGTTTGTGTACAGTCAGAAGTTGGTAAAAAAATCTTATCTGTTAATGTTATATTCATTGCTGAAATCAAATGTCATATGTTGATAACCGAATAAAACTTTTGCAAAACTGGATTGTTTGGTTGCAATTCATTCCTCAATGGTTTGCAATCTGATTTTCATCTCAAGTTATCAATAAATACCATTTTCTTTAGAATGTTTTTTTTTTTTTAAATTTTTATTTAATTTTTTTAAAAAATTTTTTTGATCAATGTTATCCCTACATTTATTTTTCATTAGTGAGTATGAATGTGAGAAAAAAACTGAGTGTTTAGATTACGTATAAATAAAGTAAGATTATAATAAATATATAATATAATAGATATAATCTATATTTAATCTGTGATTAAAACGAAATAAATGAAACTTAGAGCACAAAATACATTGGTGTGAATTGCTGACAATAATTTTACCATAAAGCAATGGTCCATTTATCTCCAGTTGAAAAATACATCTAAAATGTTTTATATTTATTTACATACATTTTTTTAGTTCATAGATTTTTTTAAAAATTTTTAAACTTAAGTTATTTTTCTGTTTTTATAAATTATATATTTTGTAGGCTGAAAGTGAAAGTGTTGCTGAGGAGCACCGGAATTCATTTATTTCATCTATGAAAGCTCTACCAATGAAGATTGCCTCTCCCATGCGGGGTCTATTAGTGAATGAACTTAAATGTAATTCATGCCATTATAAGGTCTGTAATGGATTAAATTTATAATTATAGCTGTATACACGTTTTTTTTTTATAAAAGAAATATAAGAATTTTTTTTTTCATTCTAGTATCCTGCCAGATATGATACATTTGACAGTATATCCCTAGTGATTCCTACGCCTAATTCTGTAAGTTTGGATCAGTATAAAAAAAATTTAATTGAAAAAATTATATTCTTACTCCAAAAATATTTACAATGCTTAAAAAAGATTGAAAACATAATTATTTATTTAAAATATTTCAAAAGGTTGGTTTGAACACACTCTTTTCTTATCAATGCAAATATAAAATTTTGTAACATTACTATTTTTTTCTCTATAAACTAGTGGGAATACTAAAAGTTTCTTGATGTTTCGAAGACTCTTGTTTCTTTCACAAATGTTTTTCTGGTTATGGTTTCATTTTACCTTCCATTTTAATTTTGGTTGCACTTTTGCACTGCAACCATTTTTGTGATGTTTGAGGCACTTCCCTAAAACCGTAACAACTCCTCTTTTTTCTTCTTCATTAAGAGCTGTTATAATGAGTTTTTTTTTTCAAAATGAAATAATTTTACTAATTCTTTAAATGTCAATTTTATTGCTGAATGATAGACACTGGAATTTGCTTGTTTAAGAAATGATCTAGACAAGTATTATTAACATTGTAAGGATAGCATTTGTGATGGGAGCATTAAAATAAGATAATACATAAGGGAAAATGAAAGATACAGGAGCAATTCATTGAGGTTCAACAGTAGCTATTATTATGATTGTTAAAATATTTTTCTTGTGCACTACATTGGAAGTTTGTAAACTTCTTATGTACCCTAAGTTGTTATTTTCTTCCTTGACAGCTCATATAATAATCAAAAATATAATATGATTTCTATCTTAATCTTGGGATATAAGGCTATCAAATTTGGAATAGTTAAATAGTTTTCCATAGACAGTATGAGAAATAATCTTCTTCTTGGCACTACAGGCCAGAGCCATCCGAACAAGTTTTTTCCATCAAAGTCTATCAAATGCATGTTGCCAATTAGTCATTTGTAATACTTTCAATTTTTTTTTCAGTGTCATCAAGCCTAATCCGCGATGGCTCAGGGGATAGAGCGTTCGCCTTCAAGTGAGGGAAACCGGGTTCGAATCCCAATGGATGCGAATTCCGCATCCGACTTGCGCCGACCACAGTGCTGACGTGAAATATCCTCAGTGGTAGACGGATCGTGGATTAAAGTCCCTTTGCTGTCAGGCTAACCATGGGAGGTTCTCGTGGTCTTCCTCTCCATATAACGCAAATGTGGGTTAGCTAAATCAAAAAGTCCTCCACGAAGACAAATTTATTCCAATACTCGATCCAGGAGTTCCCTTGTCTTCTGGATTGGGTTCAAAATCACAAGCCTACGGAGTTGAACATTACTACAGTGTTCCCTCGCCACTTCTTGTTTAATGTTTTGCGGCTTCAGTGCTTCGCAGGTTTTTCCAAAATATTCATCAAAAAATAAAAATGAATAAATACAACCATGTCTGCAGCCACTTTGCGGAAAGGAGCATTGTTTCATGTTGATGCGCAAGAGGGAGATGAGTTGCTCAGAGTACATATGCCACGGTCTCTCAGTAAGGCTCGTGATTGGTTGATTAATGTTTATTACTGTATGAGGTTTTGTAATTAACCTTATTAATTAGCACTGACACCTTTAAGTAAAAACGTACAGTGTTGTAATTTTTGTCGTAAATGTGTTAAGTATGAATACTGCTTACATGTTAAAAACATTCGTGTACCCGCATACATGAAAATTCCGAGTGGCAAATCCTACTTTGTGGTTTTTCAACTATCGCGGAAGGTTTTGGTCCCCATTAACCGCGAAAAACGAGGGATCACTGTAGTCGTAAACCCATGAAATTGGGTCGCTGTTCAATGATGGTTATAAAATGACATCAAGCCTGACTCAAGAGATAGAGTGTTCACCTTCCAATCAGGTGAACCTGGTTCGAATCACAGCAGTGGCTGGTCACCACGAATTCTGCACCCGGCTCGCACCGACTGCAGTGCTGACGTAAAATATCCTCAGTGGTAGACAGATCATGGGTTAGAGTCCCCTTGTTATCAGTCAAACCGTGGGAGATGTTTGGTTTTCCACTCCATGTAACGCAAGTACGAGTTAGTTCCATTAAAAAGTCTTCCACAAAGGCAAATTTCTTCCAATACTTGATCCTAGAGATGCCTTTTGGATTGGTTTCAAAATTACCAGTCTACAGAGTTGAACATTAGTGGTCTGGGCTCACCACAAATCACTTTTCTCTCTTAATGTCACTGTCTTAAAAAAAGTAAACTTTTATTCACTATTTTTAAGGCTTAGTCACTTATCAATCTTTTATATTAATGTTTCACAATTTCCACCTATTCAATTAGATTTTTCATTGAACCTGATTGATTTGATTCCATCATTTTTTTGAAGTTATTTGTCCTTTTGCGGACTGTTCCAAACATTTTTCCAATTTTGATACGATTTTATTATTTGGTATTTTAGTTATCACTTTTTGCCGCATTCGTTTTGCAAGAATTCTATTGTGAAACTACGTTTTTTTTTCCAGGTAGGTTTGCTATTTTACTTTTCTTTTGCAACAATAACAGTTATTTAACATTTTTTCAGCTATCTACACAATTTTTGAGCTCCTGAAATCCTCTTGAAAGTCCTCTTTGTTAGAAATTAATTTATTAAAAAAAGAAAAAACAATAACAAATTAGTGCAATTAATAAATATGTATTGACTTAACATGATAGCAACAGTATTTTTGTTGCATATTTTCACTGCTATTTTTAATATAATAATTAAAGCTGTAGTAGTTAAAGTTAAACATGTAAAAAAAATTTTTTAATTATAGTTAATTAAAATGTAATTTAGAGTTATATTTGATTTCTTCAGACATAAATTCTATCTAATCCAATTTTTTTTAATACTTGTATATTTATAAGACTATTAAGATGTCGCCTGGATGTCAAAACTGTTTTTAATTAAGTGACTATTTATCACTTTTTAAAAAAAAATTTGTCACTTTTTTCCCTATTTTTCTACAATGACCTGTGCTAAGCCCTGAGTAGTCGTTAACCCAAAATTGGGTTGTTGTTCAATGATAGTTGAAATATAATATCTGGCTTAAATAATATCTTTACGAGATTGCTTAAGTGCTTAATATTTGGAGGAGTCAGAATTTTTATTGCTCATATTGGTTCCTTTTACAATGCAACAAAATAATGTGTTCCTTAATTTTTATAAACTGTATAACATTATTTTATTTTTAAGGGAGAAGTTACTCTTCAAGATTTATTGTTGAAATTTATATCTTGTGAGCTTGTTCAGGATGCAGTCTGTGATGGATGCTCCAAACAAGAGGGTGATAGTAGTAGTAGCTCTGATCCAAAGGAAAAAGAGAAAACTACTTTTAACAAACAACTCAGTTTTGGGAAAGTAAGTGATTAGATTTCTTGCAGTAGCGGTTCCCAATTTATTATGGCTATGTAACCCTAAATTATTAACCATATTCCAGTAACCTTGGCTTTATAAACAAATTATCTAAAGACATTTTTCAACCAATAAAAAGACTAGTTTATTTTGAAAATATTTAACTCTTTCAAGACTTTTTTTCCCTACAAAAAGACAAAATACGACTTTAATACATAAAATAATTTAAAAATAACAATACTCTGTAAAAATAAATTAAAAAATGAACTGTTTGGCTATTTGGGAGAGAGCAGAGATGCGTCCCACTAGGTTTTTTTAGATGGGACCCAGTGGGGTTTTTGTTAGTGGGACATATATGTCCCAATGGGACTAAAAGAGTAAAGAAGAGGAAGGAATTTTTTGTCCATTATTTTATCAATAATAATCTTAAATTTGGTTTTATGTTCAACAGTTCAATTTACAGTCCTGGTACTGAATCTAGTCTAATTATGAATTTGTTTTGGTATATGTACATGAGCTTAAAATGCATGAAACAAACCAAATTATGGTTTTTGTTGAAATGAACACTGAAAATAGTCGGTAAATACTTTGAAAATGGTTGTAAGGGAAACATATTCTTCAATAAATTTAGTTATTTTATTTTGATTTGAAAAGGAAAAGCATGAGAGAAATAATCCTGCATTTTTTAAATCATGCCTTTTTCTAAATTTATTAATTACACTAGACTTAAGAAAAAGAGTTTTTTTTTTTTTTTAACTAGTAGTCATTCTTTTTATTGGCATTTTACATTCATTAAATAATTTTGTAAAGGCAACTGAAATATTAAGTAAATAAGGGATTATTGATCGGATCTAAATGTAATAACAGTTTTCAAAAATGTTAAAATTAACTGTTTAAAAAAGTCTTAACTTTTGGAACGCTCTAAACTTTTCCATGGAATCCTAGGGATCTGCGGGACACCATTTGGGAACTGCTTGCTTAAGGAAAAGACTCATAATTTAATTCAATGTGTGCTCTTCTTATTTTTCAAAAAAAAAATTTCTAAAAATTCTGTGAAAAAATTTATCTAGGGTGAAAATGTCCATAACATAAATTTTCTTTTTTATAAACCTTAAAAGCACAATATTTCTTAAACAATGAATTGAAAGTTTCTGAATTGCAATTGAGTTCTTCTTTGTATTTCTTTTTATTTTAGTCATTGTAATTAGATTTAGAACAAATATTATTTTTGTGCTATGTGATTGGGTAATATCATTTTTGTGTAATATCTTTTTTGTTTCCTTTAGCTACCAAAATGTTTGTGCATTCATGTCCAAAGAACTATTTGGTTAAATAATGGCATTCCGGTCAAGTGTTTTGATTATGTGTCATTTCCCAGATTGCTGGCTATGGACTACTTTGTCCACTCCCATAGGCGTAAAGATAAGCAATTAGGAGCTAATTTTACAAGATCTCGATTAACTGGTGGAAATTCCTCAAGAAATGATCAGTAAGTTTTTTTTTTCCATCATACTAATTATAATGCACAAATCTCTTAAAATGTTATGATTAATGGAAAATGATTATTATTATTATGATTATGATAATGAAAAATTAAAAAAGTAACCTTTTTGTAAATTGCTAATGGATTCTGCCTCTGTTCAGTTTGCCCAACAACCCCCATTGATTGCTTCTCAATCATTTTTATTTCTTAATAATAAGCCTAGCATCACATCAAGATTAAAAGTTTCATTGTATGAATACTAATTTGGCATCACAGATTTAGGGATAAAATTTAAACCTAATAACTATGCTTGGTTACCACCAGAGTTGGTATTTTTTCTGGAAGAGACTTATCTTTTTCAGGATACTGAGAGAAAATGGAAAAGTTCTAAAGAACTAAACTTTGCAATTTGTTCAACAATAACAAATGTATAAATAGTTAAATTTAAAACAAATAAAATTTAATATGGTTTCTAAAGAGTTAAAAGTTTTTACATTTATTTATTTATTTTTTGAAATTACTATTTTCAAATTATTTATTTCAATTTTATTAAGAGTTTTAAAATCTATGTAACTTACTATGATAATTTAGTTTTGACTTTTGTTATTCTTTTTTTTTTCTTTCATAAATAAAAATATGCACTTATATCTAGATCAGGTCCTAAAATTTTTGCTTGCAGCTATTTTCACCAAAAATATAAACAATTTTCAAAATGTTAATGTACGTAGCATAAAGAACTTTCTGGTGACCTAAGCCATAAAAGAATGTAGAAAATAAAATAGTGAACCATGCTTATTACTAAACAACACCAACATGAATGATTATTGTTTTTATACACATCATTCAAAGTAATTAAAATACAATAAATATCATAAAAGTGAGACATCAGAAATGTCCCTATATTTTTAACACTTCATATTCGTATACCTCTGTCTTTCGACGCTAAAAAAATGTCAACTTCAGGTCTAGCAGCAAACTATGTGGGGTGGAAGTCAATTTATAGAATAATATATCGAGGTCAATTTATACTTACATATTTGCATGTTTTTCCGAACTATTTATTTTTATTTTTCCATGTTAGATTAACACTATTAAATTAATCAGGATAGTTTTCATGATATTTGGGGCAGTAACAAGGTAATGTTATATGCTTTATCGCTATGTGAAATCATGTCTTTCCCTTTTTTTTGGTTAATTCATGTACTGAAGCAGGTTTTTTAAAACCTAATACAGGGCTCCCACAGGAGAACAGGGAGAACCTGAAATTGTCAGGGAGTTTAATTTTAACTCGAAAAAAAACAGGGAATAGTCAGGAAAAGTAACAATTATTACAAAAAAACATAAATTCCTTTATTACACCTGGAAAACATCCTGTCTTAGAATTGTCAATAACATTAATCAGGTATTGAGATACATCTATTACAATTATTTTATAAAATCCCACTTTTCAGGGAAACTTTTCCATCTTTCCATTCTCTTTCTATTGTATGTTTTTGCTCACAAAATCTAATATTTGACATTCAATGAAAAAATCAGTTTTCTGATGAAAAATTGCATGGTATATATAAAAAATATGGTATGGATTTCCATTGAAATTTACCTGACAAACCTGGAAAAGTCAGGGAATTTTTTTCCTGAAATTGAGTGAGAATCCTGTAATATTATTAACGATTTCAAAACTGTTGTACAAAAATTATTATAAAAATTATTTATGCCAATAATATACTTATTTTTTAAAAATCTTTACTGTTCATACAATTAATTAAGTATTAATGCAAATTATTATTTAATTATCACAGAACTTCATCAACGAGTAACAGTAATCCAATAGCTCAAAAGATACTGCAGGTTACCTCTGATATTACTTTGCCTATGAATAAAGTTCTTCCATTTAATTTAGAAGATTGGTGAGTTTACATTCAGATATTTATTAAGACATTAGAAATTATAGTATAATAATATATTTTACCAAGACTGGAATGGTCTAAGTAATGAGCTTAAAAACTGTTTACTTTATATGTACCAATTTCATTTTTTTTTTACTACTAGCTGCATTATTACAAATTACTATTGTACTTGCTAATTAGTACAAATTTATAATTATTGTGATGGGTTTTTAGAGGGGTTAAATGATTAATTTAAATGATTTTAGAAAGGTTGAAATTTAAATACGATTTTATCTTAAGCGTACAAAGCAACATGTTAAAAATGTATCTTCAACATTAATTACTCCCAATCAGTCATATTAAGAATTTTTTTAATTGTTTATTTAAAGTAAGTAATTTAAAATTGTTAAATAGTAAATAATTCCTTAATTTCAACACAATGTCTGGAATATTACTCAGATTTTTCAAAACAAAAATTTTTTTATACTAATTTTTTTTTATTTATTAAAAATAAGACAATCTGTAACTTGATTTAATGAATGATCCACTTCAGTATAATATTATCTTCACTACTTGAAAGGTCACATTAAAGTTGTTGAGAATATAAACAAAGCAGCTTTGATATTTGTTCAATTTTTATTGTTTATGAGTGGAAAATAGCTAAGCTTTCAAAAATATAAGACAGAGTGGATAAGTTTCTATAGTTGTTACCTACGGTTTAGTGACAAAAAAGTTTTCCATTTTGAGGTCTCCATTATTTTATTTTCGTTTCGACATTTGGGTTAACTTGAGTCTTAATTTCTTTAAGGTTTTCAATGCATTTTTTGCTCCTATTGCCATATTTGTTATTTTATTCGATGTTTAAACTTATGTGAAACAATTTGGATAATTAAAAAAAGAATAATTTTGTGTTCTTACCTTTAAAAACAATTGTGATGATGAAATTGGCTTATTTATATACCCTCCCTTTTTTCTTCTTTTTTTTTTTTTTTTTTTATTTTTTTTTTNTTTTTTTTTTTTTTTTTTTTTTTTTTTTTTTTTTTGAATTACTTACAACTGGTTAAGCTTATAATATATTTGTATATGTTTCGGTGGTTGGAATGTAAGACGTTAAATGAAGCAATATGGCAATAAAACATCCTCTTTAATAGTAAGAGATAACAAACCATCAAGAAACTCACGAACTCCAATTAACAAGTTATTCGTTAAGAAACATTTAAAAGTTGTTATTAAGGGAACAATTAAAACTTAAACTTTCGATTGTAAACATCGCATACTGCAGGTGGGCGTCACCGGGTAGAAATGGAATATCGGTACTAAGTCTCGGACGCAGCACAACAACCCTTTCAAAGGCAAACAGTCATCTCCTTAAGTACTGGACATCAGCCTTTTCACTCCCTGCCTTGGCCGCCGGTTGATGCTCCTCCCTCGGTATTCATCCGCGCAGGAACTATTCCGGTTCGTCCTCCTACCTTCGGTCTTCGATCCAATACTCGATCCTTCTACTTCAGCTTTTCATGCTATCTCAGCTGTCGCAACCAACAGCCTCTGCAATATTTACAAAACGTTTTCCAAGCAATTTTAAATATTTTTTTTGAAAGTTGTCAATAATCACTGCATTATATTAATGATAGCATATTTAATGATAAAATTCAAAAGTGTTAAATTCAAATCTACAGTACAAAACACAAATGATGTTATACGTTTAATATAAAAATTTTAATTTTAAATCCATTGACTGCCAATAGTTGTTGTTTATCTGTTCTAACAAAAGAAAACTTATTGACTCTCCATCTGATTTCATTTGATAAATAAAATGACTTCACAAAGATTTGTTGAATCTTGAAGAAAAAAATTTCTCTCTATTATTCCATATTTAACTAAGAAAAAAAATTCCCCAATGATTTTAAAGAAAAACTGATTGAAACAAAATGTGCACCTAAAAATGTGTGTTTAACTTCCACAAGCATCTGAATTAAAGTATAATAAGGGTAGTGGTATAGTAAGGGTAGTATAATAAGGTATAATATAATAAGATATAACATATAATAAGGGTAGTGTAATAAATAGTGGTAAAGTATAATAAGGATAATAACCAAAATTTTTGCATATTTTTCTTGTTATGTTATTAAGGATACTTTTAAAAAAAAAAAATTATATGTTTTTTTAATTTTTTTTTTAATTTCTAGCCTGTGTTCCTACAACTATGTTTATCTATTAAAAGCTGTGATTGTGCATCAAGGCGATACGTCATCTGGTCATTTTATCGCCTATAGGCGGCTAGCCATAGACAGTGAGAATGAGAAGTGGTTTTGCATTTCAGATCTAGATGTGAAAGAAGTGTCATTTGAAGAAGTTTCTCGATCGAGTGCTTACATGCTCTTTTATGAGAAAATGGAGTAACTCAAACAGTGTGCTATTTATGACAGGTGTAGCATTGATTTTATCATACGTAAATCTGAAATGGCATTTAATTTTTTTACACTAATTATATTGAAATTAAGTTTTGTTATAATTATATTGGAATTAAATTATACTTTGTTGTGACTTTATTGAAGTTTAATAATATTTTGTTGTTTTATTCTTCTATATCCTACTTTGAGTTGTAATTGGATTAAATATTTATTGATATCTCATAAATTATATTGATATCTCATTAAATAATAATTCAATAATTAATTAAAATAGAAAATAATTTTAACTTTAATATAGTACCATCTTTTCTTTCAGGTTTTAATAGAAGGTTTTTAATTTAATTGCTTTTATGACCGGAGATAAAAGCATATTTTTGATGTCAGAGGAATATGCTTTCTTTGTATGGTTGTTTTCTATTGTTTTTAAAATTAATAAAATAATTTATTTTTTTAAGTCTTAAAGGAATAGTTTTATTTTCTCATCAGAATTAAGTCAGTGAACCCTTTGCAGATCAACTTATAACTCAGAACTAGTGTTTATTTAATGATATTCATTATAGCTTTTTGATTTGTTCTGAAAAATAGAAATATAGAACTAATTTTAATTGGAAAATTTCAGAATCAATCTTTGAGAGATTAACATTAAATTCTGCATAAACTATCCGTATTTAATTAGATTTCTATTACCAGTATTATTAAAGTTATTCATAAAGTTTTGTATTTAGAGTTATTTATATTTAAAGTCAAATCAGTAATATCAATTGACTTATAAAAATGTCGGATTTTGATTGTGGTTAATAACCTTTCACCCACTCTTTCACCCCCCACCCACCCAAAAAAAACATGTAAGCCTAGGTTTGTGGGTTAGTTAGAAACCTGCTTATTATATTGCAAAGCTAGTATTTTTAGTGTTTTTCAAAATGTTCTATTTTATAAAGCATGTAATTTAAAATTACTTTTGAAATAAGGATGTAATAAATCACTATTTTTTGACTAACTTTGTGCCAATACTAGTAGATTAGTTTTGTATTGTACAAACTTGAACATTTTCAATGTTGGCAAAATGAGCAAAAATTATTTGTGGGTTAAACATTGTTTTCTTACTATTTTGATATATTTAAAAAGAACAAAATGTAAACTCTTTAATTTTGTTTTTTAAAAGAAAAATGTTGTTATTTCTATGGTTGTTTTTAGAATTACTCTATTTAAACAAATATTACTTATATAAGCTACTCTATCCAATGTGTATAATAATACTTAACTTATTTTTGTAATTGTTGGTGGCAGTAATCTTTATGCACAATTAAATTTATACATGCAGTGCATTTGTATCTTTTGTGAATATGATTTGTGATATATTTATTATGATATGAACATAGAAAAATATGTGCACTTATAAGCATTTCTAGTTTTATCTTGATTTTTTGTAATTTATTTGTTTTGTATGAGTTTTTATTTTTTATTCTACTAAGGAGCTCTGACCAATGCTCGCTGTTGCTTGCCAATCCTCAGAACTGCTTAGGTAGTTAATTTCAGATTGCTTCACTCTTTTTGACTTTGTTTAATATCTCAGTTTTTATACTTTATTTTTAATACATTAAATGCTAGGTTTCCAGCTTCCTATTTCCAGCCAAGCTTTGGAATTACTCATTCAGTTCTTTTCAGATAGCCTCACTCTCTCATTTCACCCGTCTTAGTTGGACAGTTTGTTGATTAAGTGGCAGAAAATAAAATCAGTCATTAAAAAAAGGCTAATTTCATATTTATATACTCTATAAATAAATCTTAATTTAAACATATTTATAAATTGGGTACATTTATAACTTAACAATTACATGGCTGCAAAAAATTCTAATTTTTAAAAAAGCATTCGCTAAATTGAACTACACAGGGAAAAAAAACAATTAAAAAAAAAACTTTGACAAAATAACTTGATTACTAATACATTTTCATAGTTTTGGTTCAATCATATATATATATGTATCCTGGTCCTGTCTTTGTATAATATCCTGTAAAATGTTTAGTTCTCATATTAATTTGAATAATTTTGTAATTTAATTTTACAGTAATTAACAGAATAATTAGTCAGTTTACTTTTAAGCATTTAGCCAAAATTTTAATCTATGCTAATATCCGAAATCTGTTTGCATGTGATCATTTTCTAAGTTTTTAAATCTAAATAAGTTATACAAATATTGAAAAATACTATGAATCTTATGTGGATTACGAAAATTAAAATTGAAGATTCAAACAAAAATTTATTTTCAGTTTTTTTTTAATATTTATTTTGTCTTTTTATTAGATTTGTTTTCAAATTAGTATTATCCATTATGATTATTTAAAATTTGTGCTAGTAATTATTTCGGAGTATTTCTATTATGCTTAAAAAATATAATGTTCTTTATAATTATCATTTTACTGATTTCTTACTTTTAAAATTATGATTCAGCTTTTTTAAGGCGCAAGATCAGTAAAAGAAGTAAAATAATGAAAATTAATTAAATAATTTATGTAATGTATTGTTAATTAAATAATTATGTATGTAATTATAATGTAATAATTTTTTTAAAATTTGGTATAAAATTAAAAGTTGCAACAGTGAACTCTTATGAATTAATCAATAATAATCCTAGTAATATTTTTTTATGAAATAATAGGAATGAAAATGTCCTCGGTCAAATATTATTACATGTATGCTTAATTTTTTAATTACATTAATTGAAGCAAAAATATTATATGCTCTTTGTTGCGAAGATAATACATTTTAAAAAAAAAAAATTTCACTGTAACAAATTCATGCAATTTGAATAAATATATTTATGGTTTCAAACTTTTTCAAAATAGGCATCTTAAACTGGCTAGTTTGATGTTAAAAAAAAATTGTAGAAAAGTAGTGTTTCTAAAAATTCTTAAGAAGCAATTAATTGGAGTTTACATTTAGCTCAGGTGGGTAGTTTACTGCAAATAATTTGATTTATTATAATTCGCTATTTTTTTATCTCATATATTCCATATATCTTTACCAGAAAAATGAAATTTATGTAAATAAATTTCGTTAACGTAAGTTAGAAAAAAAAACTGATATATCCAAAGATATGAAAGTGCAGTGTGATATGTATGCATTTCAGTGTATCACACTGCAATGCATTAGTAGTATATACTAATACATTGCAGGGTGCACAGCGTTTTTAAAAAGTTCTTAAAGGTGCTTATTTTTTATTTACGTTTTTTAAAAGCCCTTAAAGGTGCTTTTTTTTTTATTCGGGTTTCGCAAAAGGTGCTTAATTTTCTATTTTTTAAAGGGTGATTTTTATTTTATTTGCTGTGTCAATTATCGTCATAAATTTTAAAAAAATGCACGATTTTCACAATATTTATCAAAAACTAGTTATTTTATCATGATTAAGTAAAGTTTATAAAAATGTTTTTGCATTTTATTGATTTTATGTTTATAAATTAAGAACTTTAAAAGACAGAAAAAAATAATTTTTATTACAGCACAGATCCTAATTATTATTATTATTTTTTTTTGTGGAAAATAATTAGAATTATTTTTTGAATGCTTAAAAAGTACTTAAAAGGTGCTTATTTTTTGTTGAAAAATCTGACTATGCACCCAGTAATACATTGCAGTGTGATATGTAAGAGTTTAACATTTAGAAAAGTTGCTGCATTTTGGGATTTTTTAAATTCTGTCGAACTTGTTTATCACGAATGTTACTGGAAAAGAGAAACATGTCAAGATAAAGAGATTTCAAACGTGGTTAGCTAAAAATGTTATAATTGCTTCTGAAGTATAAAAATACAGTGTTAATTTAACATATGTTTACGAAACTTTCTTTAATTTGATTAAATTTAATTAGATTATTTTATTCGATTTGATTATTTAATTTTGATTTGATTTTGGAATCAAATAGAAAAACAAATTGAATGGAAGAAAGAGATTTGAAGTTGTAGAGACTTTACACATGGTAGTTAAAAACGTTATAATTGTTTCTAAAGTATAAAAAGACAGTGATATTTTAGCATATGCTTGCTAATAATTATAACTTTAATACTAAAAATAGTTTTTTAATGTCTGGCTTTATTTAATTTAATTATTTAATTTGATTTGAAATTTAATTTGATTTTGGAAAAGAAAAACAAATTGAGATAAAAAGATGTCAAGTTGTAGAGGTTTTAAAAGTGGTTAGTAAAAGCGTTTGAATTGCTTCTAAAGTATAAAAATACAGTATTATTTTAACATATGTTTACTACTAATAATAATTTTAATACTAAGACTAGTTTTTAAATTTGTAACTTTCTTTAATTTGATTAGCTTTCTAATGTTATCAAAAGCTGCAAGTTTCTTGTGGCCAACATTTTCTTGATTTCAAGAAAAATTATGACTTTCTGGGTCTCTTTTGTTATTTTAGATACACCAGTAATTTCTGCAGCTTATTCTTCTTTTAAAAAGCATCTCATTATCGACGATTTCCGCATCTGTCAGAATTCCAATTGTAGAGATATAATCCAGATCTTAAGACATTATACTCTTGTGATATATTTATAACATTCTTTCTGATATGTTATATAATATATATATCTTTCTGATATATTTTTAACACTCTTCTTCCTGCAAGGCCATAAAATTTTTCTTCGCTTACAACGTTTTTGATTGAAAAGTGTGATCTTTGGACAATGATTTCCTTAATTTACCTCTTTAGAACTCTACCTTCTTACTTTCTGAAACTAAGACTTACAGTGGTTTTGAAAGAAATTTTTTTTAAAAATTAACATGAAAAATTTATTTAGATTAACATGAATTTAAAATATGCATTTAATTTTAATTGTTAAATCTATGGAATTTCAACGTGAATAAGTTCGATTGTATTTTCTTTTTGTCGCCCCTTATCAAATTGAATAAGTTAGAAAACCAGATTTTTGCTGAAATAAATATTTCTTTATTTTACCTAATTTCATTTCGGAAAAAAAAACTTAACATTTCTAAATATTCTACTTTTCATGTTTGATTTCTATATTTTATTTACACAACAAGAGGCTTTTCAAAGTGTGGAATCTTTCGTCTTAGGGGTTTACTTAAATAACCGTCAACAAATGTTTTAATTAATCTTATTTTGATTAATATGAAGTTTTTTTGTATGATGCTCTTGTAATGTGTTGACTACTGCTTATTTAATTTCAACAATAGGATAAAATAGAAAACAATGTTTTTCAAAACTTTAAATATCATGAAGTTTATTAAAATATAGTTAATTGTATTTTTTAAATTAAGATTTCTATAACAACTACCTTGTAAACTATTCATTTTGCAAATTATATCACAATTTTTTTCTTCATAAGTTTGCAATATTCGTAGTTGTACAGTATCTTGAAGATATATTCATCTTAACATTTCCTTATTTTTTAATAGTGACTTGAAATGGTAGTAAAATTCTCTGTTTTGATTATTTGATGGGAAGCTATTTCAATATTTTTTATTAGGGCTTGATTTTTAAGAAACAAGTACTAAAATATATCTATCTAAAATGTAGTAGAAATTGACTTTTGTATTCTAAAAAATTTTTTTATAATTGCAAGTGATTTAAAGAAGACATAGAGAAAATTACAAGTATTAAAATCAAGCCCTGATTTTATTAAAGCATCTTGATCAAATTTTCCAGCTCTATTTTCTAGTCTTTTATTTAAAGTGTAATGCTTGTTATTACTCTTATCGAAAGAAACGTCTGAGTTTTCATGAAAACTTTTTGCACTTGCATATTATTTTAATCAAATTAACTGATCACTAGTAGTGATATAAGTGTGTTTATGTATTTCATTTTGCATTTGGAATGAAATCCACTGCAAAATTGAAAGAATAATGATGATGTTGTGAAAAACACCTATTTTTTGTTATCTTATTTGTATATCATCTGCTACTTAAAAGTAGTTGTAATAAATTGTTTTTTATTAAAAGATATTTTTTCTGTCTTTAATTGAAGTTGTGATTAGTCTGTTTTTTTAAAAAGCAATTTATGGTGATGTTAACATCATAAACAAGTGCTAACTAAGGAGACTTCATTGTCATATCTCAGCAGTATATTTTCCAAAATTCTTATTTGGATTAGGGATTTATAATGAAATCGACAAAAATAAAGCATATCAAAAAGTGATTAGTTATATGCACGATTCATAATTAACTAGCCGTAATCAATGTATCAGATTTTAAAAAACACATGGAAATTGGTAGTTTCAAGTGCTGAAAAAATCATTAAAACGTTACTTGGATTTATGATGAAATCTGTAGAAAATAAAGCAAGTCAAAAAGTAATTATTCAAATTTGAATATCATATTAAAAATATTGTTCTTTTCTTAAAAAAAACATACAGAATTTTGTAGCAGTTACCTTTAAAAAGTGATTAAAAAACAACAGGTTTACAATAGAATCTGTGCAAATTGAGTGTGGCAAAAAGTGATTACTGAAATGTGCTACTCATAATGTTTGACATTTTTTGAAGAAAAAAAAAAGGTTAAGCTCTTGTGGCCACAGGTTGTGCATGCCTAATCTAAATATTTAGTTATTGGCAAACATTGAGCATACATACATAATTTTCACACAACTCAAACTTATATTTTTAAAAGGATAGTTTAATTTTTCTCCTTTTCCATACTTATATCGATCTCAACCGGTTTTAAAATTATTTCTCACTTTTTGGCGCTACAGTTTAGTTATTACAATATGTACTAGAATTTTTAAGCTATTAAATAAAATTGCAAAACAAATATGTTTAAATTGTTTACCCCATCTTGAGAGATTAAATGTTTATCACTAGTTCAAATAAGATTTGTAAGAAATCTATAATTATAAAACAGGGAGTTTTTGTGTCTCATTTATAATTCCTGAACCACTTGTTCTAGTGTCTTGAAATTTGGGCAGGTGCTGCATGGGTCAATTTTAGCCTTCAATCCTAAAATTCGTTGGAAATTTTTGAATAGATTATTCGAAAATGAAATTTTCTCATCAGTTAAGTGTTAGCAATTGTTTTAAAATTAACTATAGATGATTCTATTAAATATTTTAACACACAGTAATAGTAATGTTGGTAAGCTTATAGCTCTATTTGATTAGTTTTTGCACACTATAGATTTGCTGGAATATACGGTACGGTTTTATTTGCTGTCTAAATTGAAGGATCAAGGTTAGCCTGGTAGAGGGGGTTGACTACATCATCAAATTAGTGCTCCTAAAGTTATCTGAAATGTTTTTATTTTGTTTATAGTATTTTCTTAAAACTTGTTTCTATTAAAATATATAATTTAAGATCAACATTTATTTAAATTAAAAAATTAGTTGATCATTGAAAGGCAAAATTAATAAATAGGTACATTCGTTAAGGAGAAATGTTAAAATCTGTCATACTATTGTTGTAAATGATGCTTTATCAATTTAGGTAATAGGTACGGTGTGTAAAAAAAGGACCACCTTGAATAACATTTTATCTAATGACGTTTTTCATATTCTAGGATTCAATAGTTCTAGGACTTTCTTTGAATAAACACACATTTTTGCAACGGATTGGGATTTCTTACTTCCAAAATGTAGAGGTTAGCTGCAATCTGAGAAATATGATGCCAAGTTTGGAACCCTCATTCTTAAGTTTGCAACTTCTGTAATTTGTAGCTTAAAATATATGTTGCACTAATTGATTAGCATTTCTTAGGTCATCCCCTCAAACCATTAAGATTAAACCTAAATATCCAATCAATAGATCAAAAGTTATCCTGGGTGGTCCTTTTTTTGCACACTATATGTAATAAAATCAAAAAAATAAGCTATGTACTAAAAAGCAAAATTAATGGAGTAAAGATTTAAGGATTCATTTAAAGCATAGATTCTCAACCTTTTGAACGTTGCCGCCCCCTTAAGGAGCAAAAAGCATTTCAACGCCCCCCTTCGTGAAAATCTAGTTATTTAGAGCATGTGGACGGGGGGAGGTGTGCTGAATTATAAGAAGCAACATCTTTAAGCAATTTTTTTACGCTTTAAATTTGTTTGTTTGTTTTTTTAAAAATAATGTGTACATTAACTCGATAATTTTCTCATGGCAGGTAAACGCAGTCTATTTGTTATGATCAAAATAAATACGTTTAGGAAAAAAAATACAACAAAGAAACCTATGCTTAAAAAATGATTTATTCTTAATTAGATAAATAAAAAAACACCCAAAATATTTTTTAACAGTAAAAAGAAGTATCAACTAAGCATTCAAGTAACTATGTTGGTGGGATGATTGTACTTAATGGTTCAGAACCAATTTCTTAACAGTCGGTTCAATACTTTTAGATGAAGACGCAAATACACTCGCTGCACAATTTCGAGTCGATTTCTCCTTTTTGTGANATCATAGCTATAATTCTGGTGGGGGAGTACTGTAGCGTATCTACCACTACAAAATAAAATTACAACTACAATTCACTAGTATATAAGACATGTTAACTCGACTCTATGTAGGGGTACCTTTTCATAGAAGACGGTTGACATGGTCTGTAACTACTCTCCCCACAAATGATTAATTCTTAATCAGATGAATAAAAAACACCCAAAATATTTTTTTAACAGTAAAAAGAAGTGTCAACTAAACATTCAAGTAACTATGTTGGTGGAATGATTGTACTTAATGGTTCAGAACCAATTTCTTAACAGTCGGTTCAATACTTTTAGATGAAGACGCAAATACACTCGCTGCACAATTTCGAGTCGATTTCTCCTTTTTGTGACAAGATCTGTAACAGCACTGAATCCACGTTCGACAAGTTAGGAGGAAGGAATGGCAATTAAAAATTTTTTAATGGTAGTCTACAGTTCAGGGTAGAGACGACTGACGTTTAAGCAAAAATTCTGTGAGACGATCGCCATTTCAAAGTTTCATTAGTTAAAAGTTCGACCAAATCTGAACCTCTTCTGTTTCAATATTCACAAAAGTGTTCAAAACCCATAAACCCATTGAGGCACTTCTAGGGAACAAAAACATCTTTAAAACGGTCAGAAAAGTCCATGTACAAAGAGTCAAGGTGTTGACAATATTCTTGTGCATCATCAGAACGAATTTCTCCTGCTTGGCTGAACTCATTCCAACCAAAATTCTGCTTCCACAAAATGAGCTTTTTTAAGAAGGCAGAAATAACTGATTTTGCAGGGATCAAATTGAGCTCGTTGTCTTGAAGATGTAAATTATTACCCTTAAATTTTGCAGATAAATCTGCCAAAGTCTTTCTTAAATTCCAGCAATCTGTCTCTCAGAGATACATCTCTGTTTCCGAAGAACTCAAGCAGAGAGTCGAAAAGATTCCAATGCCTATTGAGACAGAAGCTTTTGGAAAACCAGCGAATCTCGGTGTATAGTAGCAAATGATTGAATTCTTCATTGTTCTTCTAACACAGCTGTCTGAATAATCAATCGTAGAGAGCATTGCTGTGAATTTTGTTCACAGCAGACATGGCATATTGCAATGATTTATGCGAACGGTCGCTGAGATTTTTTCCTACTAAATGCTATCAGTGAATCACGCAGTGAACAGCTAAAAATATCTGGTACCTATCTTTCCAAAAGGGCGATGTCGGCCCCCATTGCAGGAGCCTATCAGTGGCAATAGACATAATATTCGCAAGAGGAATGTTTTTCTCTTTAAAATGGTCTTTGACAGTATTAAAAATAGATTTACCTTTGATATCTACAATCAAGCTTCTTGCAAAAAGCATATCTTGAATAATTTTTCCTACCTTTACAAACCGGCGGACCTATGCCTACAGTAGAGCCTACATTACCTGGCAAGGTTGATTCATCAACTTGAAGGGAAAATTCGTTGGATATCAAAAGTTAGCATAAAGAAATTTCAATGTCTTCAGCCATCTCAGCATTTCGTCGCTGCACTGTATCGTTGCTTATGGGATATTTTTTTATCACAGTGGATGCAGCTGGATGGTGTAAAACTATTTCTAAACCGGCAGTATCAACTCTGCTCCGATGGTATGAGCTCTCCCAGATTTAGCAATAAATTTTGATATATTATAAGAAGCTATAAAACCATCGTCGCATTTTTGTGATGAGGTTGCTAGTAACCCTGAGACTGAAGATGCCTTCAGAAACATGAAAAAAGATGTTCATGAAAAATGACAAATCTTTATTTTGTTCGTCAGGATGCGTTTTTTTTTTTTTCAAATGCTGCTGCTAACGGTAAGATTTCATTACCTCATTAGATAAAACTTAACACGAAGTAAACATATGGGTACAAAGTAAACACATGGATAGTTGAGAGTTCAACAATGATTGAACAAATCCCAACTTCAAGAACGTGGCACTGTATTGAAGACACTTCCTTTTGTTAACCGACATTGTTGGTGGCAGCAAAATACAAAGCATAAAAGAAAATCAACTATTTCTCAAAATTAATAAATAATTTATGATAAAAACTAATTCGCGCACGTACCTGGCAAGTAAACTATGAGATCTAATCGAAACTGGAGAGAAAACCGTAAGGAAGCTAACGAAAACCATCATAAGAAATACGGGTCAAATCAAAAATTCATACTGAAAGTGCATGCACTTCAATTTCCAACAAATGACTTGAATGAGTCAGAGGTAAAAACTACTGACTCATGCGCTAAACTGTGTTGGCTCAGATCGGAGAAAAGGAGTTGTTTACGTTCGTTTTATTGATGGTACAAATGGTGTATCGGATAATCTTTATTTATTATATCAATTTAATCTTTTTTTCTTTAATATTAATTTTAGATTAATTTTATTTATTAAATAAATCTTAATTTAATAACTTTTTTTTTTTCAAATTGCATTTAAATGACAAAACATGCTCATCGCCCCCCTATCGCCCAAAACATATCCAACGCCCCCTACCGCCCAAAACAAGTTCACCACCCCTTAGCATACTCCCAACGACCCTGTTGAGAACCAATGATTTAAAGGATTGATGCCAAAGTGCTTAACTAAAGTTGGTAACATGTATTAATTGAAATAAAAAAATAAACCATGCTAAGTTAATGAAGATAAGATACTTATTTATTTTAGGGAACCGTAGAAAATCACCATCTCATTATTATTGAAACAAAAATAAAAAATTTATATACAAAAAGAAAAGGTACTTATTAGAGGAACCGTAGAAAGTCAGCATATTATTAATACCAACATTGATGCAGATGAAAATTCATTTTGGTGTGTACATACTATGGTAACTGGTGCACTTTTAATAAGGAATTTTTCTACGGACATCACGACAAGTGATACTGAATACAGTTAATATTTATTCTCTTGGCATAAGTTACAAAAAACATGTGTTGCTTAACTATGTAAAGCCACCAAATAATAATAAAGATATAAATGGGATTTTTTTAGCTGTATTAATTGTGTGTCAGTATATGCCATCGAGTTTTGTGTATGATTTTATAATGTTGTCAAGCCCTGATTTATTGGATTATTTTCTTTTTTTATTCCCCAGTATCAAGGATGGGTATTCAGCTAGTTAGAAAATAAAAAAGTGCAGTGTTTGACCATGTAAAACTTATATTATAAAGAATAAAGGAAGGGAAAAAATAAAATACAAAAAAAGTTTAATAAATATAAACATTCAACATTACAATATTGGAAGAACATCTCAACAATAGTGTATTTTACAACAAGATAAAAAAGTAAAAACATTTCATGTTACAAAAAAACAAAAGTTGTAAACAAGCCTGTAAAGGAGCTTCATAGAAAATACATATTATGTACAAATTTAACAATGAACATATCAAAAATGTATCAACAAAATGCAAGCTATGTACGTCCAAGACTCAGGATGGATTTTCAGGAACTTTACTTCGAGAGGATATAACATGTTTAGGATTTCTTTTTACAGTGGAAACATTTTTTGGAGAATTGTCAATATCACTACCTTCTGTATCCGATGTTGTAGAACTAGTGCAAAGATTTCTATTGGTATCCAATGTCCAACCATCTTTTTGTAGGACATTAGCGGAATCTGAGTCATTCTTATAGTAGCCTAATTTGCCACCATCCACTTTATGGCTTTTTATTTCTACAGATGAATCGTGTAAACTGAGAGGGTTGACTTTGAATCCAGAAGCACTTTCAGAAATGTCCAAATGTGGTTTCTTGGAGACTTCAGTGTTCGGAAGTACATCTTCAATATTATTCAGAAAGGAAGAGAATGTTTTTAACGAAGGAGGGAAAAGGTCTTGAACTTGACTGGGGCAACTCAAGTCAGTAAAAGAGCCACCATCACCCTCCCCTCTCACACCGTGATTTACAGAACTTTCACCGTTTACCGACAGGTTTGCTTTCTGAGATGCTTCGTTCACAGAAGTTCGATGATCAGTGTGAGAATGGTTATATGGCAAAGGAATACGTTTTGGCGGCAAAGGGGGTTTCTGACGAGGGAGTTTTTGATTTCCGTTCATGTTCATAGTTCTTGGAAATAAATTGTCTCTCTCAACAAGCTGATCATCATTCAATGCTGCATTGTCTGCAGCTAAGATTTTTGAGAGAGATGGAGCTAATCCCAAACCTACATTTCTATCATGGTACACATCAGATATAGGCAATTCTTGGCTTAAGTGTCTCAACTGGGTGTTCACGGCTTGTTTATTGCTATTTTGCTTCCTTCCAGTTAAGCTATTATGAAAGGCTTGAGGAACATATAATGATCTTTCACGAGGATTAACACCGATTGTAGGAGGGGCACGAATTTCAAGTATATCAATATTTTCCTGCGTCTTACCTTCAAGACAAGGAGCATAGATACCTGTTTCACTAGATGGGTAAGATTTATTAGAAGTATCTATTTGGTGAATTTGAGCTTTAGTTTCAACAACATGGCCTAATGTGCTAGCTTTCCTGTAGTAACTTCTGTCATGATCCAGCCTTGATATTCCTTTTTTACAAAAATCTTTGCTCATAGTTTTATTTACAACTGAGGAAAACATGCAGGACTTCTTTTTCATATCACTTTTCATACTCATTGAAGACAAATTAAAATTTTGAATCTGCGACTGGAGATTTCCTAAATCACAATTGCTACCGGAGAAGTCAAATTCGGAATTCGATTGAGAAGATTGTGAAAGTTCTATATTATTACTCGTTAAGATAGACGATAATTTGGACGGATCACTCAAAGCATTGCACGAATTCTTCTTTAAATCTTCATAAGGCACATTTCGATTTTCTTTTAAAGACATAGCATCCACATCTCTTGAACTAATTTGTCTACGCACTGTCGACTGCCCAGACTCCCAATCAGTTACAGAGCTAGCTGAAGAGGAACTGTTTGGACGAGTAGCATTATTATCACTTGCTGGACTATCATTGTACATAGAACGGATTTTACTCTGATGGGATAAATTAATGGCCAAATGAGGCCCAGGTTGTGGTGAATGTTTCTGCCCACGCATGTATGGTTTCATAGTGTCAACAGGACTGGGTGTAAACGTGTCACTTTCTCTTCCTTTTTGATCGCTTCCCATTGTAGCAGTTCGGCCATCGGGTTCATCACGAGTTCTTGCATAAGTGCTAAAAGCTCCAGTGCTGCTTCTGCCTAAGATTTGATTCCCAAGCACAGGACGCCAAGCAGGATAAGCAAGAGTTGGTGCAGTTGTTGGAGGTGGAGAAGTTGTTCTAGTATCACTTGGCTCACTATCAAGACTTTCTAAAGAGCTTGAATCTTCTAGGGTCAAGCTTTTAGCAGCTTCTTGAGTATCTGTAAATTGAAAAATAAGTAATTTTTGTTACATAGTTTATCATTATATATTGACTTTTTTTCCCTTTAAGATTCTAAGCACTATGAGTCAACTTAATGATATCTTTGCAGATATCAAAGCATGATTTTTTTTTTATCACATCACAAAAAATAAATATTTTATTCAGCAATATAAATTTAGATAAGAACAAAACCATCAAACAGCAAAAATAATTTTGAGAAGGGAATATACTTTAACTAAGGATATTTATATACAGTGAAGTATTAGAGGTTTAGTTGCAAAAAAGTGAAAGAAAATAAAAAACAGTAAGCAATAAAAATTTCGCGAATTTCTTCACTTTTTGAATTTTGCGTATTACAACAATATGGATAGGATTTATGATGAAATGAGCATAATTAAATATAATTTAGAAACCCGCATGTTTTAATAATACTGTAGTTAAAATGTCAGGATCTCTTAAATTAAATGGAAAAGTGTAATAACTTAGAGAAAGAAAAAAATCTAAATTTCTGATGAAATTAACACAAATAAAGTGCAATGAAGAGTCATTATTTTTATGCGCAATTCCAAACTCTTGAGTCGTAATTATGTATTGAAATATAGCAATTTTTTAAACCATGTGGAAATGCATAACAACTGCTAAAAAACGATCAAAAGTAATTCAAATTTATGATGCAATCAGCTCAGAAAAAAGTATTTATTTAAATACGTAATTCGAAACTCAAATTTATTAATAATATTGTACTAAAAGGAAAAACACTTAGATTTACTTATTATTAGTAAGTCAATCAAAAAGTGATTATTTAAATGTACAATTCCAAAATCACAAGTCATAATTAATGTTACAGAAATTTAAAAGCCAGGCGGGAATTAGAAGTACAAAGTTCATGAAAAATTATTGAAGCATCGCCAGGATTTATGATGGTAAAAAAGAATTAAGTCAAAAAGAGATAACTCAAATTTCGAAAACTGCGCACATTGTATAAAAAATGATTTATTATTTAAAATCATGTGTAATTCCAAGGCAATAACTGTCAAAAAAGTAATCGAAGATCACGTAGATTTATGATGGAATCTTGAGAAAATTGAGTCTCAAAAAGTGATTACTTAAATAGGAGATTCAATATTTTTCAATAAATAAATAAATAAATATCTTTTCATTGTGTTGAGATGCTTCCGAAGGGCACACTTCAAGAGTTGGTGGGACACAGGTTGTGCAGCTCTATTTTATAAAATACAATTCTTATTTTACAAGTAACTTGATTTTAACTGCAATCTTAATAAAAGTGTTTCGTCTAAATTATTATTAAGCAAAATCTCCTTCAGGTCAATGTTTGGATAAAACTTGAACTTAACAATCTTATTTAGAAGATGAAAGAACTACTGGTTTGAAATAAATACAATAGGGAACCGATTATCCGGAACGATCGGGACCATCGCTATTCCGGTTAACTGATTTTTCCGGTTCTCCGAAAATCTACAAAAAGCCGTTTTTTTTATTGTTAAACCCAACTAAAAAAAAAATGTTTGGAAATAATCTTAAAAAAAAGAAAAAACGATGAATACACTACTGATTATTTCCAAAATGATGGTAAGGTAAACATCTTTCTAACAAGAAAGAAAAATCTAATGAGAAAAAAAAAAAAAAATTTTAAAAAAATGCCGGGAAAATGTATTGAATTTCGTTCCGGTTTTTTGGTTTTCCGATTTCCGGATAACGGGTTCTGTACTGTACATATAAGCAGTTTTAATAAGCAGATTTTTTATTACTTGTATACAATGAGAATTAAAAATTAATTGAAAAGTGTATACTAACTTTAAAGCAAATTGTTTTTGTTGCAAAAATATAAATTTGCCTAAAATAAAAAATTAAAGAGAGCCTGGAAAATTAATAAAAGTCTATGTATGCAGGTTTTATTTATTTTATGAGCCATTATACAAAAATTTTATTAAAAAAGAAATATCAGGATTTCAAGAGAATAAATTTTTTTTAATTAAAACTTTCTCATCAGAGAATCTGAATTCTGACTTACAGCCAAGGTTGGCAAGTTTCTGCCTAGGTGGTTAAAACCACTGGTAGAAACCGGTAAAAACTGGCATGGCAGAAACCCTTTCCTGCCACATTTGTGGCAGAAACTTGGCATAAATTCAGAAAATGACATACAATGGATAATTCATAGAAAAAACAATTAAATGTTAAACAAAGTACAATTTATTTACAAAATTATCCCGATTCAAAATCAAATATTATATTGTTTGCACTCAGCAGTAATCTATAACAAAAGACAAGTTTTGATGCAGTTTCTAAACCTAAACAATTTCTCAATTTGCTATGCATGAACGAGAAATTTGAGAAGATTCTCTCTAGTTCAGCAGAACTAGCAGGCATTGCCATCAAGGAACAAGCAAGATTTGTGAAACTTTCATCTATTGCATATTTTTTAAAACTGGACCACCATGTAGCAGCTGGGGTAGTTGTCAAGACTGACTGGAAAAATAAATTTCAGGAAATGGGGCCGATTTGTTTTGCAAAGTTATGACATAAGGTAATAAATTTGGGTTAATATTGGCGAGTAAAATTCTGGCACTTTCTTCTTGAGCACATGATAATTTCAATCCCAAATACTTTGGATACAGCATATAAGCTAGCAAATGATAATCAGTCACTGCCTGTTTAAATATGTATATCACTTCTTTATTATTAACAGCCATAAGATTCTCTTTACTTAATTCATTTTTCAGTTTACTTAAACAAAATGTCATTAAGCAATTACTAGAACTAATATAGACGTTTTTTAAAAAGTTTTTGCCGGTTTTTACCGGTTATGACCAGTTTCTGCCACTGGCATGGTAAAAACCAGTTTCGGCCTTCAAAAAGCCGACCCTGCTTACAGCGCAATATTTTCTGAAATAAAATTGATTAATCTGTCACAGATCTCTAATATTGCTTACAAAAACTGTTTTAAAGAAATTTTTTTGGAAAAAATAAATAAATACATCATATAAAAAATGATCACTTAAGGTCAGTTTCTAATTGTTTTAAAAATTTTCGTAAAACTACTCAAAAAACAAAAAATACTTTATTAAAACCAGTGAGGGGAAAATGTAACTGAAATTATAGTAAACATTGAATCTTACCAAAAACTGCTAACAATGCTTGTAACGCAAACTGGATGGTTCTTTTGTTAGCCTGTTTTCCAGTTCTAAGCATAACCTCATCTCGTCCTACTTCCATTAGATCAAAACCTGTAAACAAATAAATATTTATTTAAGAATATGAGAAACCAAGAGCATAAAAAAATGTCTAAAAAATATTCAACAACAATCAAGAATACTAAAACAAAACTTAAATTAATGTATTAAGTATTATTATAATATCATTTGCTTTAGTATGACTATATTATCAAAAAATAGGAAATATTAAGCATACATATGTATAACAATTTTATTGGAAAAAAACTAATATCTGAAAACTAAAAATAAAAAATAACCTAATGAAGCCAATAGTTCATGACATCCAGGGATACTCCATAGCCGCACATTGACAGAGCATTCAATGTTATCGATTTCTTGCTCCTTATGAAGAAACTGTGACATAAATTGACGAATCTACAGAAAAGGGAATACAATTGTCGATTATTTCAGAGCTGATGACATATAAAAATAAAAGTTTGGCGATTTTATCTAAACAATTTCTTGATAAACATAAGCATGTTAATAAAAAAATTATATGCTTTATAGCCAGGAAAAATTTCTTTACTTATTTGATAGTTTAGGTAGGAGCACAGTAAAATGTTAGGGCCTACTGTTAATTTTCCCTTTTTTTTTAATTATCTCCCAATATTTGTGAAGCTATTTAAGCAAATGTAACATTTTTTGAACACAATTATAAAAACTAATTACCCAGAGATAGTTCCAAATAAAATACTATTTTATTTTACCAATTAAATTAAATGATTTTGTTCAGACCCTTGAACTATGAAGATTGAACAAGAAAATCTAACTACTAGATTAAAAACTGTTCAGGTGTTCCATTTTTATTTTACCAGAGTACATGCAAGCATATATACGGGTTATTTTCTTAATTCGTTAACTTTTGCATCTTAGGCAACATTTCTCATTAAAATATTTATTTTCATTATTTAATGGTCTGTTTTGCATAAAATACAAGAAATAGAAAGAATATGCATCAGACACATTTTGTACCGAAATTATATTTTAAAAAAAATAAGATATAGGAAAAACACATTTCTGAATTTTTTTAGATTTAATAATATGAAAGTGTTACAGAAATAAATGCATACACATTCTGAGCAGGGTTGGCAAGTTTTTGACACATGACGGTTTTTACCGTCATGTCAAAAACCCATAGTTTTGGTGAAATAATTTTGAGTATTTGGTAAAATAATTGATAAGTATTTGGTAAAATTTTTTTGTATCTTCTCGAATTTTGGACTCATCCATACTAAACTCATAAATCGACTGGGCAATGAAAAATGCGCAAAATTAGTCACTTGCTATCGTATGCTTCAGCACAGTAACCCTGACTACTGAACATGTAATTTTGTTTGTAATTAAGTTTTGCTTAATGTGCTTTTTTAACTGAATAAAAGTTTTTAACTTGACAAAATAGCAGTAATTCTTGACTTAGTTTGTTAGCAGTTACAAGTTTTGTTTAGCTTATTTCTAATATTTAAGAAATGCCAAATTTTGAATTCTTCTTTTTAGTTCTTGAATTTATTAATAGTTCCAAGCTGTTTTGTTTGTTTCTTTATTTCTAACAATTAAGAAGTGCAAAATTTTGAATCCTTTGCAAATCAAGCTATAATGATAAAAGTAAGTATTGCTATTTTCAATAAGTAGGATTACAATATTTCTGTATGAGTGTATATCCTTCTATAAGAATACATGTATATAGTTGCAAAATCAATAGCAATCATTTACAACATTCATTTATAAAGGCAATTATGTGAAAATAATGTATTGTTCGTCATATGCCATAAATTTAAAAAAGCAGTAGGTTTTTGACGGGTTTTACCACTGTCATGTCAAAAACCAGTTTTTGACGGCAAAAACCCAACCCTGATTCTGAGTATGACTGTTTACTTGAATATTTATAATCAATATTCTTAAAATAATTCGTATATCTTGTTCTACACATAACTTTGCATATACTCCCTCCCCCACTTCTGTGTAATTACTGTCACAAATACAAAAAGTGCTAATAAAACACTATTGATGTTGTTCTAGTTGAATAAAATATAACTTCCAGCTTACAAAGAACACTCTTCTCTACAGAACTAAGTTTAAATGCAGCTTAATTTCTAATTAATCTTAGTTTAATTGCCGTACAACCAATAAGTTTACTTTTATTCTAAAAAAATATATGGGTGACTTTATTGAACTTAATTGCTATACCCTTAATTTTCATATAAAAAATTACAAGCACTTAAAAAAATTTTGATTTGAATAAAATTGAATAACTCACTTTAAAAAAATATGAATACATATAGAAAATAGGGATTAAGCAAATAAAATAGTTTTTCATAATATGCATTTATTCAATTTTAAGCACTTAATGAAACTGAAATTAGTACTTACCAATTGAATAATATCATCTGCATATTCAGGACTGCACAACAATTTGGAGAGTGCACACAGAGAAACAGGTGACAGACCTTTGAGGAGGAAAAATTTAAAATATGTAAACAGTTTAGCAATTTAATACATTTGTTTCCATAAAAATAAAGATACTTTTATCAACTGTTATATTAAATGACAAAAAAAGACATACATTTTAAAATGGGATGAAGCTCGTTTATTGTTAGACTCCCTTAGTTTAACAAATCCCATTACAGTGCAACGTCCCATATCCGGACGTCCCTTTTCCAGAAGGGTCGATTTCCCGGACATTTTTTAACAATCAAAATAAACAAATATCTCTTCATCTTCCCCTCTCTTAAAAAAAAAAGCAGGTCTTTTGATTTTGACACCTTTCATCCCTTCAGTGGGTCGATACATGAGTACCAAGCATGCTTGGGAACTAAACACTGGGGTTTTCGCGTTTGGCTGACCACCTAACCGGAACATCTGCTCCTGCACCCCCGAAAACTGAGATGGGCAAAGTAGGCTTTGGCCCTCTATGAGCTGTCGTGCCACTGAGTTTAGTTTTAGTGATTTATGCATTGAAGCCATAAATCACCAGAAAGAGGTAGAGAAGATTAACCAAGACCGTCGAGTGACCGTTAGTAACACTCCTCCTCTGGAATGCAGGAAAGGAGGGAGATTTGTTTTCAAAAGAGCACTGAGTCCCCTCCCTTTTTTTCCTATGCAGCTGGCTAGTAAAAGAGGCATTTCCTAGAACTTTTTTATTAGAGTGTTAGGGAAAGAAGAAATACTGTGAAAAAGGGTAAACACAGCAAACGTTAACGTGGAGTCACTTTCAGCCACACAAGAAAAAATTAAGAGAACACAATCAACATGCCGCGCCTTTATGCTTGATATATGATCAGAGAGAAAATAAGAATTTGTCACTTCCCCGCTCTCAACTTGAATGACAAATAAGGAGGAAATGTATTTTTCTCCTCCACCTACCCACCTTAATGAACGACAGGAATTTCCCCTTCTTGCTTGAATCGTTCTAGTTCAATTACAGGTGGTAATTGCAATAGCTAAAAAAAGATTTTGTTACACAAAGATTCTGTGTTCACGTTACTGGCCAAATAAGTAAAAGACAAATTTGTTAAGACTTTCACTGACTTAAATTTAACAAGTCAATTTCCTCACTCCTACTACAAGCAAGCTAAGACTGTATTGAACAACAATGAGAATCATAAAAATACTTTTTGCACAATACAATAATATGTGACATAATAAAATGAAATTAAATTTCATAAATAATCAATTAAAAAAATAATAAATATCTGATAGGAATAATGAGAGTTAATAAATACCTAAAAGAGCTTGTAAACTAGCACTGCACTGAGTGAGTCTTTCTCCAGGATCAGATTGAGGGAAAAACACAGATGCAGGTGAGCCATTTGAAGCAGGCTCAAAACGAAATCCAACTGATATGAGTAATTCTTTCCAACCATTTACGAGCCCAACTCGCTTCTCAATTGCTTCTTGAGTTGTGTACATAGCATTTTTGTGCCCCCTGTGTATTCGTTGTAAGGATTTCTCAACCTGCAAACATACGAGTTAGAGCTTAATCATACTAAAAAAGCTACTGATTCTTTACTATAAATTTACATGCAGTTGAAAAATAAAATTACCCTTTTTATTTGTCCTTCATAAAATTTATTTATTGTGGAAATTTTCTTTAATTACATATTTTTACTGACAAGTAAGTAGGATAGGAAATATAGAGGCAGCACTAGAGTGTGTAAACATTAACAGCAATTTTAGATTTGAGAAGATAGATCTAAATAAATTTCAACAGCGAATAAACACCAGTAACTATAAAACTTTTTATTCCTTTGTAGCACAGTAACTTTTCTCTCAGTAGTTTTCTTTGGCACTTAATTTAAGAATATTATAGTTTATATATATCTTTTTTTTGCTTATTTGAATCAAATTTAAGGAATTGCTAAGCATGTAAGGAAATTGTTGGCTACAGTCGATGCCCTTAAAACTTGCATAATACTTTGAGGTTTGTACAATATTATTTAATTTAAGATTTCAGTATAATAGTACAGGAAGTTTATATTTATTATTTATTGAAATGTCACATTTCATATTGAGTGTCTTAAGCCGCATTTTGTAACCAGAATTTATATTGCATCATTTCGCCTTAATGCATTTTGTTTCCTTACTATGCAATGGATCTTTTGAAACATCAGTCCACAATTACATAACTTACAATCGCTAATGATAAAGTATATCAGAGCAGATGTAAAGCGTGACAATAAACATACCAAATGTAAAACAATTCTTAAAGCATCACTGCATTCTTTAGGAGTCTTCAAAAGGTCAGATAAAGCTTGTCCCATCAAAGCCACTTGATTACTAAGATGAACATCACTTCCAACAAGAACAAAGCTGGCCCAATTAGCTGGGTGAGCAAAATGCTTTGTGCTCTGTATTGTTCTCATTGCTTCAGCTAATGCTAAGCTTACTTTGCTTCCCTGAAATGAAATAAAAATCCAAATTTTAAATACATTGTACAATGCTTTGTCTTTGTTTCTATAACATATTTTTACTCCATAAAACAAGAACGATAAATACAAGAAATAGAACAATAAAACACAATAAAAGAGTAGTCAAGTTATGTAAGCTGTCAAGGTATGATTATTCACAGACTATTTTATTTTTTAAACTAAGTTTTTCTTCTTTTTTTTTTAAAGAAAATATTTTATAATATATTAGGGCAGAGGAATAATGAAAGAATTATCAATTCTGGTGCTAGGTACACAATTAGTAATAGAAATTTGATTATTTTTGAACTACATTCATACAATAGTACATATCACACTATTATATATATTAGATTTAATTTACAAAATTTAGATTTAAGATAAAGTAGTAAATATTGAACCAGCTAATAAATTGAAATTAACTGTTTCAATTAGTTATTTATTGGTTTTCTAATTACTATTTTTCAACTCCATTATATTTTACAGCAAAAAATTAACTGTAAGCTAAACACATATAAAGCAAATGATTCAGAGCATTAAAGAATGGGAGCTGCTTTTACAGTGAATAGAACTTCCTATAATATCAGATAAAATATTCCTATAATATTAGGTTTCTAATAAATGAATTCTGAAACAGTTAGAGAGGGAAGATAAACTAAGCTATTAAAGTTTCATTATTACCTGTAATAGAGCCGAATAAAAGGTTCTCAGAAGAATCTTGACTGCAGCGTCAGGCACAGGCCACAAAGAAACTAAAACACACTGAGCTCCAGCAGCTAAAAGAGCCCTGGTCAAACCAACGACTCCATCAGAGTTTGCTCGACCATGATGATTTCTAGTATGGCATGAACTTATAACCACTAGGCGTGCAGACAGTCTCAAATTCAAAATATCCGCAGCTGTGAGAAGGAATTCAGAGAGCGGTGGTAAATCAGTGGATGATAGTTCTGAAGAAGGCTCCTCTGCAAATTCGTTATTATCGTGACTCATTTCTGACTGTGAACCATGAGGATAGTGCCTTGAAGATTCCATGAACTCTCCAGGAGACAACACAACTGCAGAAAGTTTCCAGGAAATGTGAGTGGCAAAGTGGATGCACTCTGCCTGAGATAGCTGACTCAAAATATATTCCTTAGTCGCACAATTTCCAGTTATTGCCTTGCTAGATAAAATTTCTCCAACTAAATTTGCTTCCTGCTCAGCCTGAGGAATGTCATTCCAACCCCACTGTTCTGATACAATGGGTGGAATTTTGGGATTACCTACCACTAAAGCCGAAGATATATCTTTGCTGTTATTTCGTCGAACTATTTTTGACCTTTGGCTTGCTTTTAAGGCACTGATGGATGGCAAAACAGTTAAACTGAACCTTTCACAAAGGTATTCATCACAGCTACCATTCTTTAAAATGGCAAAAGGAACTAAGTACAGGTCACCATCAAGCACAAGAAGTAGTTCTTGCAGATCTGGGTCCCTTGGTAAGCAATCTTCAATGGGAGCGATCAAAAGATCATAAAGGGCGTGCAAAGGTGCAGGTCCTTGCCACTGAGAGCGACGAGATCTCATACTGCCCGGTCTGCTAGTTAGTCCACTGGCAATGCTACCTCCTAGACTGCCAACACTGAAAAGACTGCTAAGGCTGTAATTGCTGCTATTAAAAAGATGATTTCTATTGACCATTCTTAAAAATCCAGTTCTATCATTTTCCTGTAAATAAAAATAAAGATGAAAATGTAATTACCTTAAAAATTAAAAACATAATATTTAAGAAAAGTAGCTAATAACATATAGTTAAGATTTTTTTGGTGCACAAAAAGCATCATGTGTTGAGAATTTTTCCCTAATAAATTTATTTCTAGCAAAAATTGAAAAACTAATAATTAAACCTGCTTAGTTATAATACAAATGCCTTTGTGTAAAAGAATTTAAAAAATTTTTTAAAAAAAAGAGTCTTTTAAAGATGTAAGGAAAGTTGGTAGTTATACTATAAGTTAGATCAATTTTTTGATTTCATAAACACTTTTTAGGTTGGCTAATAAAAAAATTTGATGTGGCCCATATCAAATCCAGATTAAATAGTTCTTTTATTTAATTAATTTTATCTGTAGTAAGAGTACCAGCATNAAAAAAAAAAAAAAAAAAAAAAAAAAAAAAAAAAAAAAAAAAAAAAAAAAAAAAAACGTGATACTACAGCTTATAGAAAACCGAGGCCTACTGAGTTCAGTAATCTTGACCTCGGGCTTTGGGGTGCCAGAGAACAGTTGGTTGATCAGCTGAAAGCAAAACACTCACTGTTTAGTCCCCAAGTATGCTTGTTACTCAGTTTATTGACTCATTAAAGGGATATAAGACAGAATGAATCTTGCATGGTCTAAGGAGAGAACCAGACTTGTCGCAAACTCATAATGTAGAGAGAGAGAAAAAAAAAGAATTGTACAAGAAATACATTTTTAAACTAGATTTTAGTAAACGTTAAATGAAGGTTTTGCTTAGAACTCATTAAAGTTAAAAAAAAAAAAAAAATTAGTTATACCTGATTTAAACGATCGCCAAGTTCTTCAAGTTGCTGATTCCATAAATCACCAGCTTCGCTCTCCGTTTCACTAAGAGCACCATTTTGAGATGAAGGCAGATCAACACCGAGGGCTTCTCTTACATGAACTATATATTGTTCTAATAATGAGCTAGCAGAAGGCACAGCAACACTTGTTTCATTACCATTTTCATTTTCAATGTCATTGATATTACTTTCATGAAATTTCACTATTCCTGCAAATGAACAAAAATTTAATAAAAATTACATACAATTCAAAAGTAAAATAAAAGCAAAATAATTGCAAGCATCAATAAAATTGCATGTAAATTGTGAGTTTAAGCAGCTAAGAATAATTAATTTATATAATTTATTAAATTAATGAAAAATACCTTACTCAGTGCAAAATTGTATAGCATAAAACAACCACGACAGCTTCACGTTTTTGTTCAAGTTTAGTTAATTGTATCAGTTTTAGATGCATGTTCTAACAATCATGATGAATGCTGTGAACACTCCCATGTGATATTCCAAGTTCAGAGGCAATAGCATCAATAGATTTTCGTCTGTCCGAACACACAATTTCTCAAACACGCTCAATATTTTTATCTGCTGATGAAGAGGAGGGGTTGTTGATGCCGTGCGATCTTCATGAAAAGGTTTCATGTTTTTATCATGGCATGGTTTCCACATGCTTCCTCCATCATCTTGAGCCTATCAGAAGGGGATTTATTGAGTAAAACACAGAATTTGATGTTTGCAGGCTGCTCAAAAGTCGACATTTCCAAGTCCGACAAATGAAAAATTTTCTTTACAAGAAATACTCTGCAGCTACTGTCGAGAGAACTGGAAATGAATTTCAGATGACTGTTTGCTTTCGTTACTAGTGGTGCTAACTTCTGGAAAAAATATTTCTCCTCCAATGAGCATCTGGGTTAATGTAGGTGATTTTCCGGGAATTTATTGACCCTAAATCGTAAACTTGTTTAACAAGGCGTTTATAAGATTGTTAATTACATTAAAAAATACTGCATTAATATATGAAGAAATAAGTTTTGAAGTTTTCCAGGTTAAAAATTGAAAAACTTGTTACCTACAAGTTTTAATGCTAGTGACACCACAAATCTGCTTATTTGACTATCGTCAGATTTGTGGCATGACATAATTGCAACGATTTGGCTTTTTTGATTTAACAAAAGTTAAAAAATTGAAAATTAGAGAAGAATTTCAAAAATATTTGTAATTTTAATTTATTATTTTTTATGAAAATAATACACAAAGAAGGCAAAATACATTTTTTAAGTAATCAATAGGGAGATATCTTTATGTAAACAAATTTTTATACAGAAAACATAAGCAAAAAATTTTCGTAAATTTTAACATTGCATAAAAAATGGTGTTAGCAGCAACCAAGGAATTAGTGAATTGAAAATAATAATAAGACTCACCTTTATTAGGTACTACAAGCCATGTATAGAGATAACCAGCAGCAATACTATAATACAAAACTGTTGCTTTCTGTCTGCTAACAATATCATAAATTTGTTCAACATTAGCTGGATTGAAATTCAAAATACTTTGGCTGGTACTGGTTTGTCTTTCAAGTAAGAGATCTACAAATGCTCTTGTTCTACCTCTTTCTGCCACTACAAGAGCTTCCTGATATCTTCCTAAACCAACTAAAACACGCTACAAGAAAATATATGTTTATATTACTACTATGAAAAATAGCATTTTGTACAGCAATATAATAACTGTATTAGGGGTGCACAACCTTTTTGAGTGAACGGCTACTCGCACAGCAGAGAATAACGATGGACCACACACGTATTTAGACATATTGACGGCAAATATGATAATTTTATTATAAACATTAGTGTCATCAGCACTAATTTCTTTTAATCAGTAAACACCCATCGACGAAATTAAATACTTTTAATAATTAGAATAAATTCAAAAATGAAAAAACTGATACTTTTTTTTTAAAATTTTCCCTTATCAAAAATTTATGTANATATATATAAATACTGGGGAAAAGAAATTAAGAAAAAAAAATCATATCAGGTAACACACAAGTCCATATTAAAATAAATTCTAACAATATAGAAAAGAATACTGAAATGCTAACAGAAGGAAAGTATAAATAAATACATATTTTAATGAGTAATATAAATTCAAATTTAATACTTTAAGTAAAGGAAATTTATTAAATTTAAATAAAAATGAAACTTTAAAACAAAACCATTATAGTATAAAATAAGATTTAATATTCATTTGGTATCATACTTCAGATATTATTTCTATTTCTTGAATTATTAGAGATTTTTCTTTTTAGTTTTTTCTTTAAAAAAATCTCATAAGCTACAAAAATTTTTAAGTAGTTTAAATATTCATGTTTTCCTCTACTTTTCAATTTTTTCATATAGTAACATTCGATTAAAATATCCGAGTTTTAAATAGATTGTGGAAATGCGTAACGCTAAACGAAATAATGGAGGAAAAAGAATTTGGATTTACAATAAAATGGGCACAAAACTGTATCAAAAAGAGGTTACTTAGATGATAGTTTAGAAATTTATTTGTTGTAATAACATCGTAGAACAAAAACAGGATCGTCAATTATGAAATCAGCAAAAATAAAGTGAATCAAAAAGTGATTACTTAAATTCAAAATTAGCATACTATAGTGTACTAAATTTTTTTTAAAAATCTTGAGGAATCAATTACTGTGGAAAAAGTGATCGGGAAACAACTAGATTTACAATAAAATCTGTGTAAAACCTGTGATTTTTAATTATTGAGAAATAGATTAAATTCGATAATAATTTAGTTCTTAAATGTGAGGAAATATCTTATTCATATTTAAGCATGGCAGCAAAATACTAGTTAAATAAGTAATAGAACATACAGACATTGTCAGTATTTAATATTTTGAAACATATTTCCTACCTGTAATGCTTGATAAGAGGCAGTTTGCAAATCAAACAGCGACAATTTATAATCACTGGTTCCCCGTGCTTCTCTTCTGATACTTTCAAATAAGTCGGTGGCCCGGTATAACTGTTGTTGAGCACCTTCCAGGTCATCATTACCCCATAATGCAAGACCTAATCTATGTCGCAGTCTAGCCTCGTCTTCTCGCCTACCTAGTTGTTCAGCAATTAAAAGTCCTTGTTGCAGGTAAGCTACAGCTTGAGGAGTATTTCCCAAAGCATGATGAACCCTTCCTATAGTAGAATGAGTTATTTAGAATTATATTGAGTCTTCTAATTTAATTCTTTCAAGCTTCAATAGAATTAAAAAAATTTCAAGGAAATTAATTATAAACATATAGGATTTTTTTTATTAGAAATAAAATGAAAATCTAAATCAATTATTGAAAAAAAAATGAGACAAAAATATTTTCTTAACACACCGCTTTTGAAATTAAACACATCTTACCTATTGAATAAAAAACATAATCCCATAAATAAATAAATTATAATGTGTGATTATCTGTCATATCAATTACCATTAATCTTAAGCAAAACTTGTTTTTTTCTCTTTTACAATTGAATTATAGTATGGAAATCGATTGTAATTTTTTCTTTAACAAATGCAATTTAGTATTTATTGTTTCAACTCTCAAGACGTTGAGCCTTTCGGTTAAAATTACACTGACATTTTACTGCTACACACTACTTTCTTGTTGAATAATATGAAGAAAATCATCACTTTGTATCAGGCAAGGCACAAGCTTAAAGTTTAAATAAAAGCCAGGACTAATACACCTAGGGTTAAAATACCCAAATAAATATTTCCTGTAAAGTCATAACTCTTTGAAATCAATTGAAATAATAGCTGAATCAGGGTAGTTTTTCATACAAAGATTGAAGTAATATAGCTAAAAAGAAATTTCAAATAACTAAACCATAATAAAAAATCTTTATCTTACCTAGACTACTATAAGCTAATGTCTTAGCAACTTTGTCATTTATCTGAGCAGCAATACTCAGATGCTGTTCTTGATACAAGATAGCTTGTTCAAAGTTACCAAGAGATTCATGGGCCACTCCAAGGTTTCCATAGGCTCTGCCTTGACCTGCCATATTGTTCGTTTCTTCAGCAATGTCGAGATCCATTTGATGGTATTTCAAAGCTCTTTGGTGATCACCCATTTGTTGATATACAGTTCCTAGACCACACGCAGCATCTGCCTCAGCCCCACGATCTGACATCTCTCTTGCTAAGTTTAATTGATGCTCAAGACATGCAATTGCTTGTTCAAAATTACCTAAGCTACTGTGAATGCCCCCAAGCTCACCATAAGCAGCAGCTTTAGCGCTAATATTTCCAAGCTCATGAGAAACAACTAAGCGTTTTTCAAAGCAAACCTATTAAGAGAAGAAAAATATATTGGGTATAAAAATTTTGACAAAAAATGTATTTAAATTGAAATCAATATCATGACAATAACTCATATTACTTTACGATACATTTCATAAAATCATATATTTTTTTTTAAAAATTTCTCAGTCTCATCTCTATTTTGTTTAAAACTAAACTAAAAATAAATATTTAACATAAATACATTTTACAGAATTATTATTTGAAAAAAAAATTATGGATCATAAAAGTTAGCTTTTAAAAATGCACAAAACTAGAACAAAAACTTATCATATTTTAGACAATTTTTTTTAAATATTCTTAATTTCAAAATCAACATTTATTTTTAAATGGCAATATGGATTACAGATACTTAGAGCAGCTTTAAATAAAGCTCATAATTCATTTATTTACTTTCTTTCTTTTTTTTTCCCATCAAGAATAAACTTATCAAGCATGATTTTACCAATAGCATAGTTAATATAAGCCTTGTTTAATCAACTTTCAATTCAAGCATACTTTTCTTTTATTATCTCACTCACCCGAGATTAAACAAACTCCCCAAGCATATTTTCAACAACAATGTGCAAATTATTAGGGTTTTCAAGAAAATTCTTAATAAATATACACATAATTTATATGAATAGATGAATGCATTAGAAAAACCACCAACAAGTTATTTTTATATTAATTCTTAGTATAAAATCTTTTTTTCCCCCTTCATTATCTAGACAGGGTGCGTAGCCAAATCTTTGAATCAAAAATAAGCACTTTTTAAAAACTTTTGAAGCACTTTACAAAAATTTTCAAGCACTCAAAAAAATTCATATTCAATCAATGATATTATTGAAAAACAAAACGTTAAAAAAAAAAAACCAAAAAGAAAAGGGCGTAAATCGAAACAATCAGTACTTTCCCACATCACCGAGTGAATTCAACTTGACCCTGAACTCAGAACAAAAGTACCCTTACCCCCAACGTCAAAAAAAGTGTTAGAAGTAGAATTATATAAACAAGAACAAAAATTAAAATAAATTAAAAAGAGAAACGTTTCATAAGGATCTGATATTCTCTATCCGAATTGGAGCACTCGGGTTTCGGTTTCAAGTGTGTGCGCATGCGCAAGTCATAACGTGGGCACGACATGAAGAAGTCCGTGTGAATGATTACGTAGCAAACTCCCCATTTTTCGTGAAATGCATGGGATCCACCAGATATCACTGAAGGTAGAAAAAAAATTATTCGGAAAAAAAGAACTTTTTAAAAACGCCAGCTGAAAAAAGCACATTTAAAAGCTTTTAAAAACGAAATCCCCAAAAAAGCACCTTTAAGTACTTTTTACAAACGCTACGCACCCTGTCTAGAACAAAAACCTATCTCATACTAATAAAAAAATTCCTATCTCATGATAATAAATTCGTTTTCTGTAAGAACAGCTCACGTGCTTGCATTTCTCAGAAATAATCATCATAAAAAATTTTTCATTTAAGGAAGTACAGATCGATTTGACCAAAATAAAGAGAACCATTTAAGTGTTAATTCCCCCTCTATTTTGCATGATTATGACATAATTGGGAATTTTGCACTTTCACCTAAGAAATCCCTATAACAAAAGGTGAAACACTATGGTTTAGAGAGATATTTTGATGCTTTCTTGAACAACTAACATGGTAAAATAAACCATGTGTCTGAACTTTTCTGCCCCTGTCTGTGTTCTTTTCCACCACATTTCTAATTGCTTATTATATGTAAGAAGATTTGTCCTTCCATTTAAAAAGATATTTTAGATTGTAGATTAGATTTTGTAGATTCAAATATATTAAGATACATTTTTAAATTTAATAAATGTTATCTTTAATCCACTAAGTAAAACAACTTATGAAAAGAACATCTCCAAACTAAAAGTAAAAATTAATTCTCAGGATATTTAAAAATACATACCAGAGCTTGTTGTAAATTTCCAATGCAGCGATGAGAGTTTCCAAGCCCCCTGTAAGATCTTTCTTGATCTCTTAACGACTGTCCTTTCAAGGCGATAGCTAAATACTGTTCGTGACACTTGATTGCTTCTTCAAAATCTCCCAGAGCATCATAGCAGTCACCTAGATTACCATAGGCTCTTCCCTTGTCTATAAGGGCATTATTATTACCCAGCTGAAAAATATAAATAAATAAAGGTAAATACGATTACACACCTTTTTGGTACTTAACATACAATCTAAATTAGAAAGAAAAAAAATTATTAGTAAAAGCAAAATGTATTAAAGAAATTAGGAAAGCTTTCAACCTCTAAAGAATTTTTTTAAAATTATAAGCTACTGAATTACTGGTTGCACATTTGGGAAAGATATACCTTACTCTCAAGGCAAAATTTTCAGTTACGAAACAAATAAAAATAATAAAAGCTAAAAATAGAAGAGCTGAAAAATGCATAAATGAATAGTTTTAACTAGTTTGGTTAGTTGGTTATAGATAATGTCAAAATTATTCATGAACAATTTAAAATTTCATTGCTACAAAGCATGGATGACCAACCTGTTGCATATGTAATTTAGTGTGATATAAAACCTATTCCTTTCTCATTTACTCCTCCCCAACTGCAGAATGTCTCTAGATTTAAAGCTCTTTTTTTTCAGAAAAAAAATCAATCATAAATTTTTTTTTAAGTTTTGCCATTGGCTAAGAACTTTGAAAATCGGCTAATTCTATTCTTTTGATATTTAGACAATAATTCGAAATCCTTAGAGTAGGCCTTTAATATGTCTTATGCTAAATAATATGAAATTTTAAGAAATCACAATAACACCTAAGAACTGTATACCTGTTCAAGCAATGCAAGTTGCTGCTCAAAATACCCAATAGCATCTTCAAAGTGACCCATGTTTAATCGAGATATTCCTAAGTTCCCCAAGGCTTGAGTTTCTAAAGCACAATCCCTTAGTTCTTTAGCACGTTCTAATTGCTCTTCATAGCATTTCATGGCATTAGTGTAATTACCGAGAGACATATGAACTGCTCCTAAATGACCATGAGCTTTGCATTCACCTCTGACGTCATTCAACTCCTGTCTAAGTGTAAGCTCCTAAAAAGAAAAGAAAAATGTTTACTACAAATTCAAAAATGTACTTATTCAACATGAAAAAGTATGATTTATAATATTTTCATTGCTTTTTAGTATTGAAAACAATAGCTCTAACCTGAGTGTGATATCCCAATGCTTTATCAAAACACTGCATTTGTCGATGACATAAGCCTAGAGCACCATAAGCCACGGCTTCAAGAGCCCTATCACCACTCTGTTTGGAAAGAATCAACTGCTTTTGATAAACTTTAACAGCTTGACTTGGATCTTTCATCTTCATTAAAACATCACCTAAGTTTCCAAGAGCTCGAAACTTTCCCTATTAAAGGCAAACAGAATATTTTATTTTTACTTTTTTATTTTGAATGTTTACTTAATACATACTACATGAAATACTACAATTTAATTGTTTGTCTTTTCTGATAAATAATGGTTTAAAAATTATGATAAATTAACACATTGCCAAAAATTTTACATAACAATACCAGTCTATAAAATATATATGTGACAATAGAGTTGACAATAAGTTATTTTATTCCTAATAAATGATAGAGGAACTCACATAAGCAATTGTGTTTGTTTCTTACATTTTATGAGTTACATATACATAAGAGCCAGAAGTTTTTAACATATTCTAGAATAAAAAAAATAAAGTAATAATTGACAAGAATAATTTTTTCTAATTTAACTATTACTGTAAAACATAAATGTCATTATAAACTTCTAGTTCAATTAATCTGAAACATAAAGAAGCGGAACTTCCAGAATGAAAAATCTAGGAGTCCAGGTGGGATGATTGAAAAGGAAAATAAAATTGGATTAAAATTTCAGAGGAATCCAACAGGTAACATATAAACAGGATTTTAAAAACCATATAGTAACTTACTTGAAGATGTTTCATCATTTGCGCCACAGCCAGGAAATATCTTTGACACTCAAGAGCAGCTTGGAAATTTCCCAAAGCTAAATGTGATAACCCTAAGTTACAGTATGCTCGACCCATGCTCAACCGATCTTGTAAATCTTTTGCTAATTCCAGGTCTTGCTCATAATAATGTATTGCATCCTATAAATATTAAAATTGCAATTTAGTGATAGAATTAAAATAAAATTTAGGCAGTACACATTAGTGTTACAGAATAATTTATAGCATCAAATCAGTATTGTAAAAAAAAAATATATGCAATAAAACTGGTGAAGAAAAATTTCTCCCCACCCCATGCAATATACAGAGAGGTTCTAATTAACTGCAGGTTTGCTACACCAAAAAAATCTCGGCACTTGATGTTTTTTTCTGCCGAAAAACCACTATTTTTCTTTGTCATTCAATTTTAAAAATTATGTATTGAGAAAATATTTCTGTAAAAACTTGCCTAAATTCAAAATGTTAATTCAATTAATAAGCGCAGTTATAATTTTTCAGCTGAAACAGCAAGTTAAGAAATTTAGTCTGATTTTGCAGCGGTCTGTCCAGGCCAAATTTACTACCGTTTAGCGGTAACTTCACAAATTCAGCTTAAGGAAAAACGGTAGTTTCACAAAATACTTTTTCCTAAAATTTTATTTTTGAATCTTGTAGGAAACAATAAATCCATATTTTTGTGTGTTTTTTAATATAATTTTGAATTTTCACAAATTCTGCTTAAATTTTCACAAAATAGGTACCTCTCAGAAAAACTTAGCCAGATCCGTGCTTTGTCAAAAATTTAAAAAAAAAGTTAGATTCCTTCCTCAAGCCTCTTTTTTTTAAATAAATAAATAAAACTATATATAATGTAGAAAAACTTGAATTCTTCAATTACAAAATGAAATGAAATTTGCAATTACTGCACATTATTATTATTGACAACAACTTGCATAAATGATCAACACAAAAGATGTGAAAAAAATTGTTTAATTATTTTTAACATGACTAAAGATAAAAAAGAAAAAATTAACTTCATACTTTATAGTTTCCCAGACAGTAGTGAGCATATCCCAAAAAATGGCATGCTTTAGCTTCACCCTCAGCATCACTGATTTCTTGGCACAAACGCAAAAAACTTTCGTAATAAGGAACAGCTTGCGAAAACTCTCCCCTAGAGCTATGGCAGTTTCCAAGATTGCAAAGGGCACAAGCCTCTCCCGCAGTGTCTTTTAATTCTTGAGCAATGTTCAAGTGGCTGTGATAATGCAATAATGCCATTTCATGCATACCTAAGGCCTGATAAGCAACTGCCAGGTTACCATGAGTTGATGCCTCAGCACTTCTATCATTGACTTCTTTAGAAATAGTTAGCTCCTGTTTATGGAACTTAATAGCTTGTTCATAACGTCCCATTGCACTGTAGGCATTGCCTATGTTTCCATAGGCTCGTCCCATTCCAGCCTTGTCCCCTAATGCTCTAGCAATATTCAAATGAGCCTGATGAAGTTTGTGAGCAGCATCGAAATCCCCGAGCAGCTGATAAACAATACCTAAGTTTGAACAAGCTCGTCCCTCAGACACTTTATCCTAAAATAAAATTTTCAGAAAATTAAGCAATTTATAAATATATTTACAATGACTACTGAATAAGATAGATAAAACCATTTATACTAAATTTAGGGATTGAAATTCATGGTGGTCTGTTTCTCTTGGGCCACAAAAATTTGTTTTACAATAGTAATTAGACTAATAGTAATACATTCATCCATAGTAATATGTATAGTAATACATACTGGATGAATGTATTACTATACATAGTAATAGTAATACATTCATCCAGTGACTGATCACCATCAATCAAATGAAATGGGATTATATGCTGTTTGGTCACAAAGTTGCATTTCTTATCATAATTATAAATAATAGACATTACCTGTTATTTCTTAAACATAACACTTTAATAACTTTCATTTTACCTTTAATTTTTAGTATAATGTGCTACTTGGTAAATATAATTTGTTTATTAAAATATAATAAAATTTTGATTTCACTTTCTTTACATTTTTTAAAAGCAATTTACAAAAATCTAAATATTGTAGACATGACACAGCAGTTATGAAAAAGAGAAAAAAAATTTTTCCATGGTAACAACTGTCAGTTGTTTCAAAATGACATTACTCATGAAAATTAAAATTCTCGCTAAGAGCTAGTCTGAAAAGTTCGGATTCTTAAAACTGAAATTTTCTTTAATATTTTTAATTAAAGTGTTTCACTAATTTTGAAGGCAACAACATAAATTTTTTCTTAAGAAAATCAATTTGAAAATTAGTTTATCATTTTTAAAGTTTCTGTGTACATCGAACTATTAATTGTAATAAACTGAATAAAGAGATTCAGAAACAGCACACTAAGTAGGATAAATAAGATACATTCACACAACAGGTTATTTAACAATTGTAAAGTTTAAATTGAAAAATCAGGAGAAAAAAAAATTAAATACTGTGAATCTGCGTAAATGTAGCACTTCTGACATCGTATTCGTCATATTAAATTATTGTTTTGTATTTTTTTCCAAGTATTCTTCTTTTTTTTTAATCAATAGTGTGACAAGTGAAAGTCTGCATGAACTTCTGAAATCTTTCGTCACTGATTCAAGGGACAAGTGACTAAATTTTCTTTATGTTTAATCCTGAAGTATAACATTTCAATAAAAAAAATTACATAAATATATAACAATATAGTACTGTAATTTAATTTCTTGAGTGTGTTGAGAAGAGTAATTCGAATCTCAACAACTTGACTACTTAATTAATATATCGATATTAAACAGTACTTAAATACAGGTAATATTAATCAAATTTCAAGAAATATAATACATACTTTAGCACCCAAAGCCATATCTAATTGTTTCTCATGCCATTTCTTTGCTTGTGGATAATCTCCCATACATCTAGCAGCATGCCCTAGTCCAGCATAAGCACGAGCTTCAATGGTTTTGTCACCAAGTTCTTGAGCTAATCTCAATACATGATTGTGAAAGGTAATGGCTTGTTCAAAATTTCTTCGATAATGATGAGAGGAACCTAAATTGCTGTAAGCTCTTGCTTCTTCAACTTTATTACCAAGCTGTTTTGCTAATCTCAAATGTTCTAAATGGCACTCAACAGCTTGATCAAAATCCCCCATGGCTAAATAAACGGCACCCACATTGCCGATTTCTCGAGCTTCTTGCAATCCATCTCCAACTTGACGTACTAATTGCACACATTGTTTATGACTTGCTAGAGCGTTGGGATAATCACCAACAGCAGTATAAACGTGACCTAAAAAATAAATTTAATTACTCTTGTCAGTATGAGTGTGGCGTAAGAATAACTTGAAGCACATTTTTCTCAATAAAAATTAATTATACACCAAATATATGAATTAACTGCACAGTTTAGAAGGAAAATAAGTATTAAATTAAGTTTTAATAATTTTCTAAAAAAAAATTAAAACTTAATTTTAAAACATTAAAGTATCTATAGGACTTTAAACTACAGAGTAGGTTATAAAATCTGAACATTCCTATATGTTTTCATTAACAGAAATTCATTCATGATTAAATAATGATTACTAATCCATATGCTTCTTTATTTCAGTTCTGGAAATAATATTAAAACACAAACGTAGATACTCAACATATGATTTTAGTATAATGACTTTCTTTGCTTAGAGAAATTTTATAAAGATAGAACTGCTATTTTTGTTTATTTTATTTTATCCTCAACATTACAGACAAGAAATAATTAAGCAGTGTTTGGGTTGTAGTTGTGTTCATGCAGATAAATGAGATGCGATGATTATGAGAAGCAAAATTTTCAAATCAATACTTATGCTATTTTTTTTTTTTCTAAGTTTAAATGCAATCGCTCAATATAAATTTGCTCTGAATTCCTTACACTGAAGTTGAAATTTTTTTAAGTTAAGGAACTGCTAGGTCCAAAAGAGAATGCATTTTTCTTCTCTGTTTTTACAAAGTATCTAAAAATTGAAATAAAATTTGGAATAATTTGTATAAATCAAGCTTTTATTAAAATTATATAAAATAAATTTGAGAATTGATTTTATAAAAAAGATACCTAAACTAGTTAAAGCTGAAGCAGCAGCATAAGTGTCTTTGCACTTCATGGCTAGAACTAGCTGATATCTATGGCTGGTCAAAGCTTCTTTGTAATTTCCTTTAGAAAAATATGCAGAACCTAAATTGCCATGGGCTCTACATTCTCCAGCTTGATCTCCTGTAAAGGAAGATATACAGTTTTTTTTAAACATTAATTTATTAATAAATCATTAGATAAGAAAAATATGAAGTTATAAATTATCATATAGGTAATTGTGATTACATTTAAATGTTATTATTATATGCAGACATATAATCACTGAATAAAATTATACATATGGACAATTACTATACATAAAATACATACAAAAATATGGACAATTACAATGTTTTTCTATCACATTAAGTCCACTGAATTTACTGTTACAATTATGCTACTTATGAAAAATACTGAGAAAACAAGGAAAGGAATAAAAGGGAAAAAATATTAATTAACAAAAAAATTATTTAAAAAAATTTAAATTTCTAAAAAAAATTGTTTTTTAATTTTTTGTCCTTTTTAATTGAATAATGTAAAATAAAAAACATTTGAAGCATTTTTCAGATTTAAATAAAACAAGTTTATAAAAGTATGCTTAACAAAAAACAGTGAAAAGATTAATATTATTGATTATACTGAATTGATAAAGATGTGTAGAGAATTTAGCAAAATAAAACCTTTATTAACTCATATTGCAAAACTAAATAAGTGAATGGTCCCCTACTAAATTTTTATTAAAATTTGGAATTATTAACAAATTATGAAATGTTTAAAATAATTCTCAAATGAAAATGCAATGAGAATCGAAACTAAACAATTTTCTCAGAAGTAAATAAGTGCTTATATTCAACCTTATTAAATAAATCTCAGATAATTAAATTTATAATTTAAATTATTTTTAAATAAAATGAAAAGAGATACCTAATTTTGAAATGGCAAATTTGAATCACATAAGACTTCTACTTGCATTTGCTAAACATTAAAATTTTGAAAAGCTCCTAAATTAATATGTAATTTGGCATGCTTAGTTGGCCCCTTGATCAGCAAAAAATTAGTGAGATATTAGGTTTGATTTCAGAGAGTGAGAGATAAAGCCTGGAATCAAAACTGTCTAGCAAAGTTGTAAATTATTGCAAGCATCCTTCCTACCAAATCCATCTTCGTGTACGTGCATGACGACAGGCTGATACTAGGGAACCGGAAAGTAATGTCGTTTCGACGCATTAAATATTTATCAGTCTTAAAAACCAACTAATTTTTTTTAATCCAATTTCGATCCTGCATTGAAAGTCTGTTGCTAATGAGAGTGAATACATTGATAAAAATAAAATCTTTATTACAAATATAATCCACTGAAACGATAAAGTCTTCGCTACATCAAAATGGATTGTGGTTAAATAAATTGCAAAAATGTTAAACAGTACAATTTGAAAACCACACTTTTGCTAAATTTATGATGACAATTGACATGAAGAGAAACATGACATTTATGATGACAATTGAAAAGAATTGATGACATTGATTATGATGACAATTGACAGAGAAAAATCTCATTTTGAAAAAGAGAAAACTTAAGACCAAACCATACCTAAAGATTTGGCCACAGCTAAATCTTGCTGCATGTAGGCAATAGCACGATCTAAAGTATTTAAAGCCCAATAAGCACTGCTCAAAGCAGAAAAGACAGAACCTCTGAGCTTTAGACTGCAGGTACCTATCCGTAAAGCAGATTCTAAAACGACTACAGCTGCAGCATGATTTCCAGTAGCTAATAATTCTTGACCAACAACAGATGTTATGACAAAAGGTGATTTATCTAAACGCATAGCTTGTAGTTGACGGTACGTTGGTTCAAGAGTGGCTGCAAAATTAAATGAATAAATATAAGTAAATTATTGCCTAACTATAAAATACTATACACTACATAACAAAAGTTAAAAAAAAAAAAAATTAATGGTGATGGTAATGACATAGATGCAAATTAAGTTTTTAATAAATGTTTCCTTTTGAAGGAAAAAAAAAATTGAGGTGCAAAAATAATTTTATTGGTCAATTGAGGTGTGAAAATAATTGTATTGTTAAATTTCTTTTATACTGTACATCACTGTAATAGGATTTTACTAGAGGCTATTTTTTCAAAAAATTATTTTTTAAAAATTTTAGAAAAATTAAAAATATATATAAGGAAGGGAGTGTTTCTAGTCAAATTTCAGGAATTGCAATGATTTAGGGAACCAAAAAAATAAATGTAATTAAACTAGGATGCAATGCTTCAAAATATCAAAGCTTAATAAATATGGTTTACTGTAAAACTAATAAAATCAAGTCTTAATTTTAATAAATTTATAAAATTTATTTTTCCAATAATATGCTTAACCACATATGAGCAAATTTTTTTAGTTACAGCTAATAAATGAAAAATGTAAGCATTTTAGCATATAAAGATTACTTAAGTTTGCATCCTCCTTGTGTATTAAGAAAGTGCTAAACAGAAAACAAAATTCATACAAAAAGGTCTGATGTGAAATAATTAAAATCAGCAGGACGATATACAGTTTTAAATTCTACTTTCATTATAGAAAGTTGAAACTTTGCACATCAAAGCAACTTTTACAAACATATTTTATCAAAAGTATATTTATTTAAAAAAATAAATAAATAAATTATAAATGATGCAAATATAAAATAGAGACAAATTATAATTTTGCAAGCACATTACTTTGAATTATAAAAAAGATGAATTCATTTTTTAAACAAACTGAACATATCATAATCAAATTTCAACATTTTAATAAAAATACAACTGTAATTTCGATATAATACTTTCATAATATTAAACAATTGTTTTTATTAGTAATAATAATTTATTAAAATTTTTATTAATAAAAATATTTCTTTTTACATACAAGCATCTTTAGGTAAAATTTAGCACAATAATTGCAATTATAATGCAGTTAAAATGCTTTGATAAAAGAAAACTTGATAAAATCTTTAATTGTATTTATATAAGCATCCTACTATACCTCTCAGAGGAGATTTCATTGCAGCTTCAACCAGACCAGCCAATAAGTGTACATTTTTAGATTCTTGGGCTAATCCGGAGGCAAATGCTGCCAAGGAATCTGCGTGGCGTCCCAAACATTGAAGGGCAACACCTTGTCGATAATATGCCTGAAAACAATATTTTTTAATTACAATACATCATAAACATTTACCATTATCAATTAAATAAATTACATGCAAGAGAAAAAAAAAAGTCCACGAAAATCGCTACTAAAAAAAAAAGAAACTCTCAGAATCCCAGAGAATCTCCACGGAACCTTAGAATTCCGAAATATACATTTCGGAATTGCTAGTTTAGCCAATGCACAAAAATTACATTTTAGAATTGTAGCAGGAGAAGCATAAGCCTGTATTTTTAATGAAGATTAAATTTTCAGTATGATTTATGGAATAATTGAGGGGCTTAATAGTAGAGAGTGTTAAGTGACATTTTAATATAAAAATTAGAAATAGTGATAAATCTCTAAAATAAAACATTACTAAAAATTAAATACCTTGAGTAGGATTATGCTGAAGCAAGTTGAATATGCCAAAATAACATCGTCAAATTTTTATTACTAATTAAAAAAGGGATTTACTTACTTTAGGCCATTTCGGATGCAATTCTCTAGCTTTAATGGCATCTTGAAGAGCTCTTCCATATTTTCCCACTTTAATATAGGCTGCAGATCTATTACTAAACAGTACATGGTTAGAAGGATCAAGCACAATAGCCTCACTATATAGTCTAATGGCAGTAGAGAAATCACCACTTTGACAGGCAGCATTAGACTGGCGTACTTTTTCCAAGAATAATGATTTGTTTGATGGCTCTGATTCAAAATTAACTTCAACCTATGAAAAAAAATAGTTTTAATTGCCAATTAAATTAATAAAATTTGGATTTTGAAAATCAATTGGAAAAAAATCAGTAAATTTTACAACAATGAACAATTAACAATATTTATTTCCACACAACTAGATATAACTAAGTATTTTAATAAATTATCAAGCATAATTTATGTTTAATGCATACAAAATAACATATTTTAGGTAAAAAAACATAAAAAAATATACTTTATTACTCCATACATCTGAGTGAGAAAACAAACTAACTAAACAGGTATGCTGAATATGTTTAATCATGCGAACAAGGTTCAGGAGAAATTCAGGCAACAGAAGAGAATTTTGTTGGCCAATTTTAAAAAAAATATATAGCCCTACAGAAAATTTTCTTGAAAATACATTAAAATATATGTTTTTATTATTTCGTTTAACAAATTTTTTAACTCCTTATAACACATCAAATTACTGACTAAAGAGAAGATCAAAATTTTTCTATTATATATAAAACAAATAACTTTATATAGATTGCCTTGTTCGGCAAACTCCCTGGCCCCACTGGCCATACGTCTAGACCCGTGGTGGTGACTATGGTAACAGGGTATAACTATTTCAAGTAGAGGTGTGGGGTCACTGTTTAGGATAGGTTTTGGCTCGGGTCGGCGAGAGAAAGGGAATCTTTTTCTTCGGTCTATTGTATTAGCCCTAGAGTGAAGAGAAGCTACCCTTCCTGAAATACGTTATTCCTGTTTCCATAGCAGCAGACGGCCTCAGACTTTGTGGCGGGGGGAAGGGGGAGTTCTAACAGTAGACAAACTGTATGTCAATTTGTTTATTTATTAATTTGAATTCCTTGCGTATATAACTAATACCTTATCGATGGATATTTGTGTAGATTCTGAAATATTTGAAATTATGACTATCTGTGCTGGGCTACTTACAAATTTCTTCATGCAAGACTTATTTGGTTTATATCGTAAAAACATTTTTGATGTCTGCCTTTTTATTGACTTATGGGAACTTTTCCAAAATATGCCTCCTTAACTGGTTAAGGTGCCACTTTTAGGGTACTTTTTTTGTACAGAGTAAACATTAATTTGCATAAAACACCAATGAAAGGAGATATTTCAACTGTAGTGCTTTTAAAAGTAAAATTGTTAAAATGTGACACACTTGAAACTGTTGTTTTTCCTTTCTAGCCTTTCCATAGGAACATTTGAATAACACACCTGTTATTATTTATTTTTTTTAAATCATGTTCTGGTCACCAGCTTTAGAAATTAAGTATCATATTTTTAGTCACCTCCTTTACAATTCACAATTACTTTTATCCCTTGTTATTTTCTTGCATAATACCATCTAAAGAACGGTCCTCTGAATCACTCAATGTGTGATAAAAAGCCAAATTTAAATAATTAATTGTTAGGATATGCGAACAATTTCATACGCTACTACGGCATACTATACAATTTCACTACGCTACTATACAATTTCATACGGCAGCCATCTGGCAAAATATTTCCAAATTTATATCGAGAAAGGTCATCTCTAGGATATGGCAGGTTTTCAAACTAAATTAAGATTTCGCAACATAAAATATACTATACCAGATATGAATTCTTTATATTCTTTCCTTTAATATGTATCTACGTCAACTAAACTTAAAAATGCAGGAATCTCAATTTTGAAAAAAAGCGGAGATGACTGGTTTTAGGACTCATCGATTCAATTTAACACAGCAAATAATCTACTGAGAAAATGTTGCTGGCATGGCTAAAATTTATACTAAAAGCTAAAATTCCCTTTCTTGACTGAAGTTTCTTGAGTCTATTTGACAGAAAAATACAAAAACCAGAAATAATAAACCATGCTTCTTATAATAGTGATAAATATATCAGCCTTCACATGAAAAAAAATCTCCATATGAATGCCTTTTCACCATTTAATATCAACAATCTAAGGCTTAAAAGCATATAAGATGCTATATATAATTAGGTAAATAAACAAAAGGAAAAAAAGACATTTAGTAGAGTAAACAATCATTAAGAAAGTATTTATGAATCAAGCTATTTTGACTTCTATAATAGCACTTAAGAATCAAGGTTATTACACAGATAAGTAAACATTTAGTGCCTTGAATACAGTAAACAACGATTTAAGAAAGTAACTCCGAATTGCACGTCACTTAGTATGATAATTAATAACCCTAATGAACCATTTTAATCATTAGTTCAAAATCTGCATAGCATATTAGGTGCATTACTAAAAATAAATAAACATTATTGGATTTAGTAAAGTATACAACGATTAACAAAACAACTATAAGCAGCATGTTTTTAATACAATTAATAACTATAACAAATTAATTTAATTAATGGTCAAAACCGAGTAGAGCAGTGATACAAAACCTACAGACAGCGAGCAAAAACCTATGCCTAAAATGTGTGACTTGGCCCATGAACAGTTTTAAATAATATAAATATATTATTTTAAATATAAATATGAAAAATAAGATAAAAGATTTTTTTCCCTTCACTTTGGCAGAAAATAATGCAGTATTAGAAAGTTAATTCGTCTTAATTACATTTTTTTAATAATTATCTTGGCATATTATTTACCGTTTAAATGCAACTCTGAACTTGAATGTAACAATTCCTTTAACAAGTTTTATTTATGGCTATAATTTCAATACTTGAACAGAAATTTAGCAAAATTTTTCATATTACAATGTACATGAAGTATTTCTACATTGTATTTTTAATTAATATCTAAAAAAAACTTAAGTTTTTAAAATTACAGTTTTGTATTACTTATGCTGGCTCCAACAGAGCATTTTTTGTTTTTCTGGAGCACTATCAGAAAAAGGTTGCGCATACCTGGTGTAACATAGAAGATGAGATATTATATACCAGGTTACTAAATATGTATTGCATTCAGCAAGGTAAACAATGATTAAAAAATAAGTACAAATCCCTTTTTTTATAATTTATAAATGCTTTTTAAAAAGTTTCCCTTAAAGACTTAATATAATTCAATCCAATATTTGGATAAAACCACTACACTGCAGAATAACCACTCAAATTTCTTGCTAAATAAAATCAAAACACATTAATGCTGAATTATTTAATTAATCAAATGATCAGAATCTTACTTCTTCTGGATCTCTTTGAGTTGTAGATTCCATTGATGGATTTGTAACAAACGATGATAGATGGTTTCATTTCTTCCCTTTTAGAAGATGTCAACAAAAATTTACTATTTAATTTTATTAATCACTATTGAGTCAAAACTGATGTATATACATCCACATAAAATATTAAATCCATAAATGACAGCTTTACAAAAGTGAGATACATCTGTTAATCAACAACTATTTACCCAAACAAAAGAAAGTACAATTAATGATATCTGCCAAAGACGGGAAAGGAATGTCAGGAATGACATACACATTAAGCAACATTTTAAAAAGATATTAACACTGTTATAGAAGCAACTCAGTCTTTGTGAAATTCCAACTTAATTGATGCCCAATAAAAAATAGTTGATCAACTTTAAATAAAAAGAAATATTTTAAATAAATGAAAATAAAAACTCAACGCTAAACTACTAAAATGATTATAGGTTTCTATCAGCTACGGTTAGTGAAAGGTTAACTTTTTTTACCGTTTCGTGCTTCAATAAAAAAAATAAAAAATGAAAAGTATTCCCCTCCAGCATTTCTTTGATTGAACTCTAAAGACTGACTTTGAAGGCATTTTAATCAATAATATTATATATTTTATGCAATTGAGATTCTTTAAAATATTTTGCAACCCTTTTTTTGTGTAAAAGGTTGTTATTTCTCTTTGCGATTGATTACGATTTATTAAATATTAGACGATTTATCTGCTTAACTGTTAACTGTAATATTGGATGTAAATAAAATAATGGTTCGTTACAGACGTTTAAGTTCGGTTTCGCATCACAAATATTTTTTTGCTTTTTTAAATAAATTACGCCTCCATGTTTTATTTTATTGATTATGTAAGCTGGTTTTAAATGTGTTAATTCTTATTTTGCTATTTCATTGACGTTTCTTGGTCGGAATAATTAGAGTAATGATTTTTGTTTTGTGTCTATAAGTGTTCCATACGCTTTATTTCTCAAACTTTGTCTAGCCATTTCGTGGACATAATTTTTCTCAAATAAATGTCGAATATAATAACTGTTTATAAATTTTATGTTATGACATTTTTTAAAGCCCTATTCTTCTTATGTTATGCTTTAACATTGATTTTTGCCATTTACAAACTGTATTAGCAATTTCTCCATGTATGGAATTTTAATGTTCTGTTTTAAAAATGAGGTGTTTATTTTGAAAGATTATGTGTTAAAAATATTAGTAAATTTATTTCTATCTCTTGATATAAATTTTTGTAATACTGGAATAATTTATTAATGTAAATTCAAATGAACTTGAAAATAAGCAATTATACCTAGATGTGTAAAAATTTATTCTGAATATTGTTTTAATAATAAAATATTTAATAATGAAATTAATTATTAGTTTAAAATAAATTTTGAATAACATAATATTTTAATTCACTTCGCTCCCAAAACATATTTTCAATTCCTCAAATCTTATGTCATGGATTTTAGATGTTTTTTTACTTTTTAAGTAATTCAAAAATAAAAGGAATTATATTTATTTAAAATCACATTGATTGCTTTACCACAAGGCTTGAGGAAAAATGTATTATGCAGAAGTTACAAGTTTGCTCTGCTCTGTGATTTTTAGTTTCTGGTATGTCACTACCTAGAAAGTGCCAAAACTTGGCGAAACTACAAAACCGTAACTGGTGAGACTTAGATAATTGTAGTCGATAGAACCATACTACTAATATGGAACCATGAACAAGGGTGGATCAAGAAGATGCACTTGCTATAATTCAATATATTAAAAAAGTCATATTTCCTTTTAATTATTAAGAATTTTTTATCTTCAGTAGTTACAAATATTGCTTGTTGTGTTTCGTGTATTAAATTCAGATTCACCAACTAGATACAAAAGGTGCAACTAAATTTAATTTTGTAATTAACTAATATTTTTGTTTATTATTAAATGACATAAAAATTTTAATAGTAAATTAAAAAATACTAGCATATTTTTCTTTTGTGTTTCATACTTTACTTAAAAAATTTAAATAATGATTTTTTCTAAATTTCAAACTTCAAATGTTCTTATAAATACGAATGTTTTACTAAAAAGTTTTGTTTAGTAATTTTAATTATATCATTAGCATTACGACCAACTGTCAGCCATGGTTACTTCAAGCAGTTTTATCCATTTTGATCTCTCAGAAACCTCTATTCTCCGTCTATTGTTCCCACACTGCTCAGACACTTTTCTACATAATCTAACCATCTTCTACGTTACTCTACCTCTTTTTCTAGCTTGTGAAAAGTTATAATTTTTTTTACCAGGCTCTCATTATTGTGCACTACCTTTAAATAATGGAAGAGAGACTTTCAGTTTTGACATTTTCTTAAATTTCTCAAGAAATACTCAGAGGATTATTTTGTAAGATTAAGAAATGATTCACTTTAGAGGTGTTTGGGTCATGTGATCTCTACTTATGAATGAAGTTCAAAGGTTTGAGAGATGCAATTATTTATAATAATTGCATAAAATTTCATAAATGTGGCTCAAGTATTTATGGAGATATGAACATTTGTAAAAAGAATAATTTTTGTGTTTTGTTTTTTTCTCGCTATAACATTAAAAACTTTCTATAAAATTAAATGAAATTTTCAAAGCAGTTTTTAATTTGTTGCAAAGTTATTATCGTTAAATTTAGAAAAAATTTAAGCATTTTAATTAGATATTTCAAAGTGTGGCATGCATTAAGAAAATAAAAAAATGTTCTTCGCCTTAGAAGATGCCGGAAGTGTTGCTCATTATTATTATTACCCGGTGGGCACCTGTAAACCAAAGTCACAGAGGCGAGCAACATTACCCACGCCACATTCACACATCAGAAGGCGACACAGAGAGAGAGAGAAACATCCATGCCCAGAGCAGGATTGGAACCCCCAGTCAGGCACGCTAACCCCTCGGCCACCTGGCCGGCGTAATTTATTACTGGTCTCTCAAACCTCTAATAGCTTTAAATTTGATTGATAAGTATGAGAAATAGCTTGACCTAAACATCTATTAAGTTACACAATAATCCACTAAGTTTTTCTTTAAAAATTTTAAAAAATGCCAAAACTGTGCACGTGTTTTCTATTATTATAGGGTAATGTATCTGTTGATATGGCGGAGCCATCTCATCCGTTGAATTTTAATGAACTTCATTATATTTTTTTTCCTCTGAATTCATTGCAGAATTCAAAGTTGTATCTTATTTTCCATACAATATTCTCTTTTATTACACCGAAATTTCTTCTCCAGATCTTTCATTTTAATATAAATTGTCTATTTTAATCGAAACATATCAAGATATTTTTCATAAAAGAGAATTGCATGATTTTTGTAATATTTTTCCTGCTATTATTCAAATATAAGTAATTTATTTCCATTAAATGCCGGCCAGGTGCCCGAGCGGTTAGCATGCTGGACCGTGAAGCCAATGACTGCCGGTTCGAATCCCGCTCTGGGCATGAATGTTTCTCTCTATGTGTTGTCATCTGTTGTGTGTGATGTGTGAATGTGGCCCATCCTATGAACGGGTATTTGGGACGAGGGTAATGTTGCTCACCTCTGTGACTTAGGTTCACAGGTGCCCACTGGGTAAGGTTAAATGAGCAACACTTCCGGCATCTTCCTAGGTAAAGAACAAAAGTTCAGTACCTGCCATTGCGAAAAAGAAAAAAAAATTCCATTAAATCCTTCCTCTGCATACAAGATTTAATTGTATTAATGAATTTATTTGTCATATGAAATCATGTAAAGACATTTGTCATAAAATAAAATGACATAAGTTTTGTAATACTTTTCCTACTTGTACCTCCCTAAAAAAAGTTCTGTGTGTGCTCGTCAAAATATCTACTAGGCATATTTTAAAATCACTACATTAATTCATTCTTTGTATGAAAACGTGTGATGTAAAAATGTACTTTTAATTATGTTCTGAATTGTTAAATCTTGTTATTGATGTGGTTCATTAAAAAGCATCTAATGTGATAACTTTTGTGATCAAAAGAATTAAGCAATATACAAGGGTATCAGTATTTAATGACTACATTTCTCCCTTAGATTATCAAGAAAGTTCTAGAAATTTAATACTGTATAAATTAGACATGTGCTATGGCAAGTTCGTCTAATGTATCCATTGAAGAAAGTGATGGAGATACTACCCATAGTAGTATTCACCCCAATCAGAATGGATTTAGTTCTTCTGAGCCAGGGGAGCAAGAACTAGCTATTGATCGCTTTGGTTTCATTGGCAGTAAAGGCTCTAATTTGTAAGTTTTGTTTATAGCAATAGAAAAATCTATACAATATTGAATTAAAACATGCCTTAGGTTAAATATTTAGATTTATAAATGTAAATAAAAAAATTTAAATCTTCCAATGTAAATTCAAATTTATTTTTTTTTCATAAATTTTTATTTTAGCAAGGAATGTTGACCTAATATAGAATTGATATGAAAACTGTAATTTTTTACAAAGTTTTAAAGACTATAAATGTTTTAGTTATAAACATCATCACCAGTTACCATTTTTTTTTTTATTTTTTTGCTATAGAACCCTATATGATCAACCTTCTTTCTGTGGAGCCCTGATTTTATAACAAAGTGCATAAAGAGAATCATGAACATATTAACCAATAAAAACTACTTTATTTTGATTTTATAACCGTCGTTGAACAGCCGACCCTAGAAAAACTTTATACTTTACAACTACTTTATTTGTAACAATAAGATGAACAAATTTTTTGTCATTGTTTTATCATTACCTATATAAATATCAATGATGTATGTTCTTTCATAATTTATTCGATATAATGCTATTAGAAAAATTTTATTTTAAATTTTATTTTTTTTTGAAAGATAAAAAAAAAAAAAAATTATTGGCATTTTGCTTTATATAATTTCAACCAATGAGACAACCTTAATATTAAAATGATAGTGTACTGATTTGATATAATTAAAATCAGATGCTTCCAAAATGTCAACAAAAAAAATTATAATTCGTGTTACCCTTTTTCATTCATTCACTGAACCCAGGGGTTCCACAAAATATAATTTGAGAATCGCTGCTCTAGTTCAGAGGTTCTTAACCTATGGGTTGCGACCCAAAATTGGGTCGCGAAGTATATTTCTTGTGTTGCGCTGAGTGGAACCAAAAAAGTTAGTAATACACCAAATAATAAGTAATACCAACACCTCCTAGAAGAAGTCATTGTGGCTTACTCAGCCTAGGCTTAATGAGGTACCTGGGTAACTCTATACCCTTAATCCTCGTTCATAATAATTAAAAAAGGCACATGACTCAAAATTAGTTTAGCATATCAAGGTGCAAAATTAATATAAGAATAAAAGATACTTAGTAGTTAATGTTTATAATAAAAAAGTAAAAAAGAATTAACATAAGGGCCCTCTCTAAGAGGTAGAAAAATAGTTCCTCAGAAGTGGCGCTGTTTAAGTCAAGGAATGAGTTAAAATGTCAATTATTTTCAAAAAGTTATAAATATATTTTAATTATATATTTTAATTATAGTTATAAATATATTTTAATTCAATAAAAATTATTAAAAACACTTGATTATTAATTAAATTTTCCTTGGATCGAAAAGTACTTTTGTTTATCTTTATTATTAAAAAAATAAATAAAAAATTTGTAAGTTAAAAAAAATCACCATCGTAGGATTGAAGATTTTTTTAAAAATACTATCTAAAATAAAGCAATGAAAAAATTTTGACTATTTTTTGGGTCGTGACATGAACATATTTCTCAAATTTGGATCGCGGCTTAAAAGGGTTAAGAACCACTGCTCTAGTTAATTAAATAGTTTGTTGTTTATTAAATTTAATAAAGTAATTGCTAGTTTATTAAATTTTATCACATATGATGAAAGATGATAACATTTAATAGGACTGAAGATTTAATAAGACAATGAAAAAGTTAAATAAAACATAATATAGAAGATTTAATAAGACAGAATGGAGAAATTTAATTATGTCTTATTAAATTTCATTATATGCTATAGTAGATCATATAAGGTCGCAGACATGTTTTCGCTCCCTTTCCTAAGCAGAAAATATAATTATTTAAATTTGTTTGTTTTTATAGTGGAGTTGCAATTCCTGTTGATATTTTAAGACAACGAGAGTTAAAATGGCTAGAGATGTTAGAGAACTGGGATCTTTTTATGACTAAAAAGTATAAGAAAGTAAGTGACTTAATATCTTTAAAAAATGAAAATTTTTATTATTTTTACTTGAAATTATGAAACTGTGTAGCAGTATTTTTTATTTTTTTCAAAGCATCTTTATTTGAAGTTAAATAAAACTTTTTTCCAGGACAGAAATAAAAAATTATAAGTAAATCTGTTAAAAAGATTCCCATAATCGATAATTTTATATTTCTCACAGTCCAGTCATACTCAAATAATGTAAATATACAGACCGTTCACAAAGATAGTGTTTTGCAGAAAACTCCCAAGACCTTGAAACAAAAATTATGTGTATTATTATAGTCATTATGAAAACAAAGATGCAAGTTATTGTTGTCTTATTATGATAAGGAACACAGAGATGCAAAAGAATTAACATCGATTTAATTAGTTACATCTTATTTTATTTGAATAATTTTTTAAACTATTGCTTATCAGCTTCATTTACCAACAATAAAGTGAAAGTAATAACTTAATACATTTGTAACAATTTTTTCTTATTCATTGCCAGATATATGTTTTAGTATTCTGAAATTGTTTTTAAAGTTTCTTATTAAGTTTGTTATTTTTATTTAAACTGTATCTAACCAAATATCTTATTTTTAGGTAAGGGAACGGTGTCGAAAAGGAATCCCTCCTGCGTTGCGAGCGAGAGCTTGGCAATACCTGTCTGGAGCAAAGTTTTTGTTAAACCATTATAGACATAAATTTACAGTTAGTTTATTGTTTGTTAGTTTCTTGGTGTTTATTTAATTGAAACTTAAAGCTCTGCTATTTTACTAATTTATATGCTATTAAAATTATTTATCCACTGAATTATTACAGATAGTTAGACAAACATTTTTGTGAGTTACATTTTTTGTCATTTAATATGAAAATATTTTCAATTGGCTTACACATTGAGAAATTGTATCATGCTTTAATTAAAGTAGCATATCTAAAACAGTTGCAAAGATAATTTTATTTTTTCAGTCAATTAACTAGTTATAATATAGTAAGTAATTTTAAAGTACAGCCTTCAGGGGAAATTTAATATCACTTACATCCAATCATCTAAATCCACTAAAAATATCCTTCCAACCCTGTCCACCTTGTGTCCCTGAAACAATATAGTTCTTTGTTACCTCGATTGCACTTATTAACTGTTGCAGATGATATTTTAAGTTACTAAATTAAACCCCAAGGGTTTTTTTTCTGAATAAACTTGTTTTTTTTTCTACGGATTTGTATCTTTGATCATCAACTGTATGGGTTAGTTGTAATCTGGAAAATATGCTTCCAATAGAGAGTAATCACGAGTTTCGGTCCCTTAATGCTAATTTCACTTTATGCACATTTTCCAATATCTCAGGAAATCTTTAAGGTAATTACAGTACTGAATTATAAAATTTGTTATCCAAAGATAACTCCATTTTTTTTAAAAAATGACTTTTAATAATTATTTACTATTTTTATCATTTACAGAAAATGTTTTAATTGTAAGTTGTGCAAATTTTCATACAATGAACAAAATCGGTTAAACAATTTCAGTGTAATAAAATTTAAATAGAGCCAAATTTTTAAATTTTTATTTCTCAATCTAGCCACTGTGGCACATATTGTAAAGAGCAACTATTTTCTTGTTTGGAAGGGTACCTTTCCTTTTGAACTTTTCCTTTTGGAAGAACCTTTCCTTTTGAGGAAATGTAAACAGTAAGGATTGGAGTGAGGCAGATATAGAAGCAACAATAGATAAACCTCTCCGAAATGGCGGTGAATATAAAATATATGGCGGTGAATATAAAACTAATTTACTTCCCTTAATCTCAGTTCAGAATAAATGCTTAAGATTATTAATTCTCTAAATATAAATAATTCAAATGTAACTACTACCAATATATATATACAAGAATTAACCTATTACCATTTCACCATAATGTATTTTTTCGTATATTACTCTATTTACACAACAATAAATTAATACACAAATTAAAAACTAATGTGTCTGAAAGGAGACCAACTGAAATGTATGAGATTTCCCTCTTTACAAAAGAAATTTCACGAAAACAGTTTTTTTACTTAGCACCTAAATTATATAATAAATTACCATTTCAGTTGCAAAACATCAAAATATATTCTTCTTTTAAGCGTGCTTTATTTAAATTTGTGATGAGCATTGACGATTTAGATCTCTATTTTTCACTTTAAAGGAAGCATTTGATTTTTTATACCAGTCTTGTGCCAATCCAAATGAATTTCTTATGTTACCTTTGTTTTTTTTTTTTATATATAGTTTCATGCATTTTTTTTTTATTTTCTATTATTACAGTGTTCAACAATATATGACGTCTTATGATGAGCAAAATAATTTATGATTGTAATACCTTTTTTTTCTTTTCTTTTTTTTTTTTTTTAATTTCTATTTTAAATTTATTGTATTCTTGTTCTTTGTCGCCTGAACAGGATTTTCCTCTTGACTACGAATATATATTCTTTGTGTTTTTGTTCCCAATAAAGTTATATTTGTTTGTTTAAAAAAAAAAAATGCAATAGCCCTTTATCAACTCCACCGAAACTGCCCGAGAGAAACTTGTATTGTTTACTTATATTTGTTGATCGTGATTGTCACCTATGTGACTCTAAAAAATCTAAGAATCAAATACACTTTCATTTGCTGCAAAACTGTCAATGAAATTAACTGTAAGACATTAAAATGCAAAAGGCGGTGGTTTTGGTTTTCTTTTTGTGTTTTTTGTTCTTTGTGGTATTTGTTTATATCCCCCGTCATTTGAAATAAGAAAAGGGTTTCTCACTAATTATTTCGTTAAGGATGGGTGAATTTATTCCTAAATTGTAAAACTAATATGACTAATGAATGTATTTATAAAATCATCTTTTCAGGAACTTGACGGATCTGAAGGTGACCCTAGGTGTGTTGAAGACATTAAAAAAGATCTTCATCGTCAGTTTCCATCTCATGAAATTTTTGTTAACTCTCAGGGTCATGGGTAAGTTTTTTTCTCTATTCTTATTCTAGTTTTTTTTTTTCTATTGGCGATTATGCATTAAAAAGTCTTATTTTAACCTTCACTTTCCTCCTCATAGCATAACAGGTTTTTCCTTGTTATTAGGTAATGAAATAGTGTATCAAGGAGAAACAGTCTCCAAATTTTTCTCATTTGCTAAACTGCCAGTGGGTTAATATAAATGAATATGGTCATGAATAGACTCTTTTTTATACAATTCTATAAATAGCTCTCACTATTACACACAATTTTTTTATTTTTCTATTTTCTGGTCAATGTTATCATATCCAGATTATTAAACACAAAACATGTACACTTTTTCAGAAGCTATCATTTATTATACCAATCAGTCCATTTTTATAAAATTTAATGGGAAATAATTTCAATTTAAATATTATACTTTTATGAATTTTTTATTCTTGTCTAGTTAAAATTTGTAATAATATAAGGAATTTTTTATATAATATAATTCAACAAAAATAATTTTCTACTTTCATGATAATATTTTTTTTTCTTTCTAAAAATGGGACACAACACATAAAATCCTAGACGGTCTTGAATATTAGAATTTTTTTAGAGATAGTTTATCAAGCCAGTCGGAAAAAAATTAAATCTATTTTATTATTATTTTCTATGTACATTAAGCTACATTTTCATTTGACATGAAAGCCTTGCAACTCCCTTTTTGCTGATGTTACTAATATTCAATAAATGTTAAATGCATCAGCATTACTAAGTTTCATGTTCTTTTTGATCACAGATTCCTTGTTTAAAAATATTCAATAATTATCCTCTGATATTCTAATGATTTTTCTGCCCCTCATATTTTGTTGGCTAATGTTGTATAAATTAAGTACAATTTTAATTACTAAGTTATTGTATAATGGAAGTATTATTTATCTCTTTAAAAAAGTCAGGGTGGCTATAGAACAAAGAATTCAATTAAAATATCCTAAAAGTCAGGGTAAATAAATTAGTTATTGAGGAACCTGAAAATCCAATATTTTCCACCAAAAATATTGGTCTCATAATTTTATTTTAATATTCTTTTAACTCTAATAACAAGTGTAAGTGTTTTGTAATATATTATATGTATGAGAATAAGACATAACTGAAGAATAAAACTTTTTTCAATAGTTTACTTAAATTGGGGAAATAAAAATTTTTTAGTTTAGTTAAAAATTTGTTTCTAGTTTAGTTCAAAATCCATAGTTTTTTTTAGTGTTTGTGGCCACTCTTAGACTGTATTTTAAGATTTTACAGTTTGCAAGGGATAATGAATTTAAGTATTTGTTTAATAAACATCTTTTAACTGTATAATTATCAAATTCTAATAATTTTGAACTCAAGTTTCAGTTATTTATTCTTTCTTTTTTATTTTAGGCAAGCTGATCTGTATCGAATATTGAAAGCATACTCATTATTTAATCCATTGGTGGGTTATTGTCAAGCTCAGGCACCTATTGCGGCTGCATTATTAATGCATATGCCTGCAGAACACGCATTTTGGTGTTTAGTAGCGATATGTGATAAATACTTACCTGGTTATTACAGTCCAGGCTTAGTAAGATTCTGTTTCCTTTTTGATTTTAAAAATTTACTATACTGTTCTGTTATAACATTTCTTTAAAAAAAAGTGAACATGTATATCTTCTTTAATACATATAGATACACTAGCATTCAAAAGTCTTTGGTCAAACTCAATATTATAGATGGTCGATTGGAAATGTAATAAATAATGTATAATTTTATTCCTAAACATTCTTAATATGCTTATCTAGTGCTTTGAAAGTCACTTTAAATCAAATGCAATTTTCATATCAGTCAGGTAGTTGTTTTTCTTGAAGCAATTTTCTTACATCTAAGAATTGGATGAAAATATAATTTTAACAAATAAGCATAAGTTTTTCATATTTATTTATGAAAATCGTGATTTTAACTTTAATTTAATATTGACATTTATTTTTGAAGAATTAGTACTTACAAGGCTCGAATTATATTAAAAAAGAAATATTCAACTGAACTGAGTTCAAAGATTTAAATTTAATCCAAAGAAGATTACATTTTCCATTAAATTGCAAGAAAAGTAAAAATTCTGAAATCAAGTGTAATATATATATATGTTGGCTTGACTAAATAAAACGAAAATCATCTCTACAAAGAAAAGAAAGAAGAAAAAAAAACACCTAAAAAGGTTAAAATGCCTTTCATGCATTGACCAAAAACTTTTGCACGCTAGTGTATATATGGCCTTGTACTTAAACACTTATTGAAACGTTGTTTCATAAAAAAATTATAGGAGATTTATTTTTTTTTTAATACAAAAATATAATTTAGATTTTATCTTTTCAAATATTAAATCTGAAATTAAAATCTTTTTTCACAAACAATTTTTTGTTATGCATTGGCCTTATACTGTTGATTAAAATGTGAATGGAAAAAAACTGCTTTTTGAAAAGATTTTTTAGTCTTGGAACCAATATGAATCAGTTTTCTTTGTTTAGTACCTATTTATTCTTAAAAATTTTTGACTTTTTCCCTTAATTATACTGTTTTGTTACAGGAAGCCATTCAGATTGATGGGGATATTTTATTTGGTTTGCTTAAAAAAGTTGCCCCTTCAATTCATAAGCATTTAGTAAGTCATATTTTTATTTAATTTTTAGATATTAACTTTAACTATTGTATTTGATGATTAAACTGTAATTTATTTCATCACTCAATAATTTGTATTGATTCATATAATGCGTTTTGGATAATGTTGCGTTTGAATTGTACATGGTACAATTTTGCATGTATTTGAAAAGTTATGATGAAAATTATTGAAATACATAATGTTATGATTTTAAGTAAGATCGTATATATTAATTTATTGTATATTTAAAAATTATTTTAATGATTTCTTAACGTTGAATAATTTATTTTGTTTATAACTTGTTATTTGTAATCGATGCGCAGTAACCATTCATGCAACTTACTCAGTAGTACGGCCTTTCTGCTGGGAAACTTTTCCTTTTTGGTCAAATTTTACGGGTGTGGCATATATCCCAGGGTTGTGTATCTCCACAAAATAAGTACAAAGCAGAAGCTAAGTAAAAAGTTGAAGAGACCATCAAGATGAGGAGTGATCTCATTATTAGAAAATGTATCTGTTTCTATCAGTATTATACTATTACATAGTTTATAAAAGCTGAAAGTTTGAAAATTCTATCAACTGAGTAGAATGTTTGTAAGAAAAACTGATGTTTTAAAAATTGTTTTTTTGGGCTACACTTTATAAATCACAAATAGCAGCAGCACAAATAACGTGATAAAGTGATTCTATTTTATGTTGCCAGTTAAAACTGCAATAGAGAAACTGCCATGGCTATCTATCACATATCATATTACATCATAGTTTTGTAAAATAGCAAAGCCGAAGTATGTTATTAACAGCTACCAAATAAGTGTTTGTTTTTATATGTACTTTTTAGACAATTACATGTTATTTTTTCTGACTTGCCTGGTTTAAATTTTTTTACAGGGTTCCTACACGGTCAGGAAAACCTGCAAAAGTCAGGATATTCTAAAATTAAGCTAAAAAGTCAGGATTTTTCTTACATATATATATAAAGTCAGGATTTTTCTTAAATATTCATCAAGTTAGGAAAATAAAGAAAAACTATAGTTAATTCAAAGACTGACAGGCAAAAATAAAGTTTCAAGGAAAAATTCTGTAATTCAAAATATGTAATTTCCTCATAATAACATTCCTCTTTCCCTGGTAGAACCTGTCCTGTTAGCAATTTTCCTCCTGTTTATCCAATGATAAGGAATTTTTGATAGGTTTGCTAGGTTTATTGCTCTTTGTGTGAATAACTGGTTTACAGACAATAGTAGCTGAAACAAAAGCATAAAAGGTATATTTACTGTTTTGTGATGCTGCCAAAAAAAAAAAAAAAAAGAAGAGCAAATGAGTTTCTTAGAGTTTAATCCACAGCAAAAAGGAATAGATGAATTTTTTTTCGAAATATTTGCACAGAGAAAAAAAGTTTGAAAATTTGTGGGAGGTTATAAAAATTGTTCTTGTCCTCTCTCAGTCGAAAGGGGTTTTTTCAATCAATACAAGCTTATTGGTTGAAAACCTCAATGAAGACTCTATTATTTCACAAAGGCATGTGTATAATTATGTTTCATTTATAAATGGAATAAAAAAAACATAGACATTAATGAAAAAATGCTAGATGCTGTAAAAGGATCTAAAACAAAATGGAGACATGCATTAGAAGCAAAAAAAAAACAAAAGAATAAAAAAGCTGAAATTTCTAGAAAACGAATAAAAGAAAAGATAGATGATTTGAAATTAAGAAAATCTAAATTGAGGAAAACTGCTGCAACAGAACTGGATGTTCTTGATTCAGAAATTGTCAAACAACAAAATATGTTGAGATATATTATGTAACATAGGTGCCACTGAGTTTCTCCGGAAGCTTACAGTATTACGAAAATAAATTTAAGAATGCTGAAAAAAAAATATTTTTGATTTTATTTTTCTCACAAGTTGCATAATTTTTCTATCCGAATTTTTATTTGTATATAATTAACTTTTCTTGACTTTTTCCCCCTTTATATTTCAATATTATCTTTTAAAAGAAAAGTCAGTTTTAAGTGAAATTGTGATTTTTAAAAATTAATATTTTAATGTAACAAATGTTCTAGTATGTTTTAAGAGTAAATATTATTTGAGGATACTGATACATATCTCGCAGATTTGATTAACCCTTTATATCCTGACGACACTCATGCATTTGGTTCCACTTAACATTAAATAAAATAATATTTCCATAATCCAACAGATTTTCTTGATCTTTTTATTTAAATAGTTTTCGTATCTAACTACAAAAACACACTAAAAGTTTAATCTAATCATGATAATTAAAAATATGTTTCACAAGTTTTCTGAAAATATAATTTGG